AGTAATTGAAGCTTACGCCCATATTTACAATTATCGTCATGATTCCGGAGGCGATGGTGGAACCCAGGCTACCCAGCAACATTACAACAAGAAAAAAGTGCAACTTTTTTGACTCTTGATACATTTACTATCCGAGCAACTTGAATCAAAATGGCTTGAATAATATCGGTAAGGAGGCCACGGGTGAGCTCACCGCCCAGCATGGCATTGACGATGACAGGGCACCATGCCTGTATGAACCAAAGGATAGTGCCCGAGAAACCAATTACTTGGTGGTGTAATAGATACTTCGAATAAACTCACTATTGAAGTTGAAAATACAAGCCGGCCGAGGATAACTCTCACCCCTGTTGGACTTTCAACTTCGTCATCTTTTCCTTTCTGCCTCTTACCTAGAACAAGAATACCGGCAGCTGCGCCATGAGAAGGGGAGCGGTCTGACCGTTTTTCCAACTCCGCCAGATCGTTTAGACCCACCTGAGTTTCGTCGTCACGTAACATGTTCATCTTTCGACCGCTCAAACACAGTACTAGGATGGAAACTGTCCCATGATTTTTCTCGCACCCTCTCCGATGATTCTCCAATTTGGGCTATTTGGTAACTCTCGAAATGCAAACACACTATTCTGTGAATCCTCTATGTATTCCAAGATCTCTATTGCTCAAGCGCCCATAAAATTTCAAATGCGTTGATCAACCCGTCAACGTTTCAACACTGTGACACTGCTAGTAACTCGCACGTCGTGCTATCAACCTTATGGATACCGTGCGGATGTGAAAACAAAAACTCGACTCACTACCGCACTAGGAGCATACAAAGAGAAACTGCCAACTGGTGAGTCATGCAATTCAATATGGGACGCAAACTACTCATACTCACGCAAAGTTCTGACAAGCAATCTTCACAAGTTGATGGCCAGAAGCAGAAGATAGGGCAATCTTGTTTCTCAGTGTCACTGGCAGATATCAATGGTGTCAAAGCAACAATAACGGCGAGGACAAATGAGATACGCATTGTCACTTGTGAGGATGTGGTAAAGGATCAAGTGAAATAATTCGGAGGACGATATAGAAGATGCCTCGCTTTTATATGCTGGGTATCATGAGGATGTACGATAACCTATGCACTGGAATTACCTTTCTAATAAATGATATCTGCAAAATGCCAGCAAATTGCCAGCTAAAATCTGCCTTGTGACTCTCAGATGAACAAGCTAGTACTTCGCACTTACTGGCCGGGGATGTCGGTATGAGTGTAAATCCGTTTGGAAGTTACCTCCGTGCCACGAAGGGGATGTCGACGCATCAGTTGTCGAGTTTTTCACAAGGTCCAACCTGTGTCGCTACAACCATTATTCTGTCCAAGCAATACAACACAGACACGCACGAAAAAGTTCTATCCAAATCGCTTCGGAATGCCAAATACATACAAGGGGAAATATCACAATGAAACAAATAAATATGTATGCTTCCAGTATCGCATCGTGATTGATGCTACACATCTCCCCCGGTCAACTCATCTCCATCAACATGGAAAGCGATGGACATCGTGCCTATTTCCCCATCGGCTCTGGCAACGCGCTTGGCGTGGTATTTTCGGATACTGAGGATCAGACGTGGTCCCAGCACAAACATTTGCAGCATTTGGGAAATTGACAGAACGCCAACGTAAATAGCACTCCCCACTGACGATGAGTTCTGCAGAGAAATGATCATGATGAGAGTGGTCAGCTCCAGATGCTAGTCACAGGTAAGCGCACCGCGAAATTTGGAGATAGTGAGCCAAGCACGAAGCAAGCCATAGTAGCAAAGCTAGCAAAAGCGGGAACTCGGTGAAGATAATAACATTGAAATCACTGAACTCACGCTAGAAAGTAAAACGCGTGACTCTCTATCAATATCGCGAAATAGTCCCCAATGGTAGATCTTGTCGGCGATTGTCGCAGCTCACGGAAGTGCTTTATAACAATCCAGACTGTAAGAAACAAGGCGAGAATCTCCCATGCAGCGATGGGTATCACACTCTCATAAGTGAGGTTGGCCATGTACGTGTCGATGTTGCTAAAGCAGATATGATAGCCGGAAAGGACGACCTCCTCTGATAAATGACCATGAGTCTCTCGTGTTTCAGGCTTTCATAAAAAAAAAATTGAAACTTACGCCCTGAAACACCCATATTTCCAATTATCGTCATGATTCCGGAGGCGATGGTGGAACCCAGCAACATTACAACAAGAAAGAAGTGCAGCTTTTTGGACCCTTGATACATTGCATTTATCCGAGCAATCATAATGGCTTGAATTATATTTCAGTCGAGTCAATATCAGTAAGGAGGTCACGGGTGGACTCACCGCCCAACATGGCATTGGCGATGACAGGGCACCATGCCTGTATGAACCAAAGGATAGTACCTGAAAAACCAATTACTTGATGGTGTAATGGATACTTCGAATGAACTCACAGCTATTGAAGTCGTTATCTTGAGATAAAGCCGGCCGAGGATAACTCTCACCCCTATATAGGAGCGTAGTTAGTAGTCGAATGAGGATGGAAACGACATGCATCGGTGCAGAATACTTACTGCATCAGTAATCGAGACCGGGAGATTCACTGCACGCCCAGTCAGAACTTGAAGAAGCAAACACATTTGAAGACACATACACAGGAGGTAGGCGCTAGTTACGAAATATATAAGTTTTGAGTTATTAGCCCATCGCAGTATTGCGTATATAGATAGCCTGGCAAACTTACACAGAATAAAATATCCCAATGTAGCGCACCTAGTATATGTTGAAGTCAACACAACATGCCAACTGCGCAGTGGCGAGGAATACAATAACGTACACAAATATAAAGAATGGTCATGAAGGACCAACGTTGCCTCTGCTCCAAGTCAACTGCATCATCATCCTGTTTGGGGCTCGGATTTTGCTCACCAGGATCAATTCGAACTGTTGTAGCATTCTTAGTGAGCTGCGCAGGTCCGAAATAACATCAACTAACTTCTTGTCCGAATGTTAATACTTGAATATCGCATACATATCAATGATTTCTCGGAACGTATCATCTCGCTTACCCCAATCGTATACCACCACAGCAAAGCATACAGCTGCAAAGCGACAGTCAAAGATATTGAGACGTCGCCACTGGTATCCAAATTGCTCTCTGCAGACCTATAAAGTAGTTGATAAAAGAAGTATAACTGATGAGCGGCCACCAAGCGGGATCATCTGAGACTCGAATCATGTCGGAAATGGAATGATGCGTATTTGAGTGGATGCAGATAGTATAACGCGGTCAGTCGCTTTTATATATAGAGCCTATCACGCGAGAAGGCACATTTTAGCTCTGAAACCCGCTGCATACTTGAACACCGGCAATAGGACCTATAGGGTGATGTAAGGGGATCTGGCCCATCAGTTTTACCAACGGCCATGCAATGATTAGTCTAACGCCGCCAGAGTAATTGCATGACTCGGAGGAGACGGATTTCGTTGTGTCAAGTGACCATGAAGGGATGCTCGCGTCAGCAGACTCAGTACTAAATTACGTAACAGAAGCCTGCTTACCTGTTTGAGCCTGTTTGCCGGTTCGTTCTTTCAAGTTGCCTCAACATTTTCTTGATGCCGGCCCTGTGTCATTGTCTTCTAGCTTGTGTGCACTCATCCTTACAGAGCTTAGTCCTGACACGTTCTAGGTTCTGAATATGCTAGTAGCACTCGTTTCACTCTAACCCTTACTATCAGTGACAGCACTGTTGCGCCCTTGGTCATGAATCGGCACTTGAACTATACCACTGTTGTACTGCATGTCAGATCCTGGATTTTTCCAGTGCGGTGTTTTGTATGACCAACGATTTTCCCATGAGCTTTTCGCTGTCCGTGCAGAGCACAAGTACAAGGAGTTATATTCTATATCGTTTCAAAACAAATACACAACTTGGCGAGGCTAAATATCACAACGAAACAGCTAAATATACATGCTCCACGCACAGCACCCAAGTTGGTTGGACATTCGGTTAACTTTATATGCTACACATCACCGCCAGTCGACGTATCTCCACCGACGGACATATCTCCACCAGCATAGAAAAAGGCAATAGATGTCATGCCTGTTCCCCCGTTGGCCCTAGCAGCGAGCTTGGCATGATGTTCTCGGATGCTGAGGATCAGACGCGGTCCCAAAATATACATCTGCAACATTTGGGCAACCGACAAAATGCCAGTGTAAATAGCACTCCCATTGGATGATGAATGCTGTAGAGAAATGATGAGAAAGTGTCCATCTATAGATGCCAGTCACAGGTCGGCGCACCACATTACTTGGAGATAGCAAGCCAAGTGCGAGGCAAGCCATAGTAGCAAAGCTAACAAATGCGGAACTTCAGTGAAACAACGCAAGAACACTCAAATAACCGAACCCACGCTAGAAAGTAAAACGTGTGAGTCTCTGCTAACATTGTGAAATAGTCCCCAATGGTCGATCCTGCCGGCGATCGTCGCAGTTCACAGATGTGTTTTATGATAATCCAGACTGTGAGAAGTAAGGCGACGACCTCCCATAGAGTCGTAGGCCCATATTTCAGTTCTTGCATCGCGTCAGTGTCTATAGCACAGATATGGTAACCGGAAAGGATAAGCTGCTCTGGTAAATGTCAATGAGTTCCTTGTGTTCCGGACTTTCATCGATAATTGAAGCTTACGCCCTGAAACACCCAAATTTCCAATTACTGTCATGACTCCGGAAGAGATCGTGGTACCCAGCAACACTACAATGAGAAACATGAGCATCTTTTTGGATCCTTGATACATGGCATTTATCCTAGCAATCATGATAACTTGCATTATATTTCAGTGGATTCAATAGTCGTAAGGCACCACGGGCGAGCTCACCTCCCAGCATGGCATTTACGATGATAGGAGCCCATGCATGTATGAACCAAAGGATAGTGCCTGAAACACAGTTACTTGGTGATAGAATAGATACGTCAAATAAACTCACAACTGTTGAAGTCATTGTCTTGAAAACACAAACCGACTGAGAGTATCACTCACCCCTGTATAGGAGCGTAGTCAGTAGTTGAATAGGAATGGCATGCATTGGTGCATAATACCCACTGCGTCAGGAATCGAAATGGGGAAACTTGCTACATGCCGCCAGTCAGAAGAAGAAGCGAACGTATGTATTTGAGGACACATACATAAGAGGTAGGCGCTGGTTGCGAGAGATCACTTATTAGCACATTGCAGTGTTATGTAGACAGGCCTGCAAACGTACACGTAATATGATAGTCCAATGTAGCGCACCTAGCATATTTTGGAGTCAGCACCACATGCCCACTGCGCTCATAGTAATATTGACGTACACAAATGTACAAAACAGTCATGAGGGACCAATGTTGCCTCTGCCCCGAGTTAATTGCATCGTCCTGTTTGGTTCTGATATACGATTCTGCCCACCAAGATTAATTCGAACTGTTCAAGCGATTTTTAGCGAGATGCGTAGGTCATGACATCAACTTACCTCTTGTCCGAATGTCAATACTTGAATGCTGTATACATATCAATGATCTTTCGGAATATATTATCTCACTCACCCCAGTCATATGCCACCACAGTAGAGCTTGCAGCTGCGAAAAATGGTTAAAGATATTGAGGTGTCACCATTGGCATCCCAATTGTTCTGCACGAACCTATAAAATAATTGATAAGACAAGTGTAACTGATGAGCGGCCACCAAGAGGGATCATCTGAGACTATAGTCATTTCGAGATGGGGCGTATCTGAGAGCGTGCAGGACTACCACCGATCAGTATCGCTTTTATAGCAATTGGTTTGATATCCATGAAATTAGGCTCTACTCGGAACGTTTCAAAGCAAAGCACATTTTTAGATCCAGCCTAATATTTGAACGCCGATAAGATCCGTTCGTGATGTAACTTCGGGGACCTCTGCATCAGTTCCATCAGTGACCATATGTAGTTGATAATCTAACTGCAGGAGGCTCGACAATTCACCTTGTTCCAAAATACAAGGTCGTGACAATAATCTGCCTAGCCGTATCCGCCACCCGGACATTTGTTATGAAACAGGCGATAATGGTGACCAAGTTCTCTTTGTCGGTATTGGCAATACGGAGGTCCTCGGACTCGGAGGAGAGGCATTTGATTTTGCCAAATTGGAGTGGGCTGACCCAGGGATAGTACCCCAAGCTGTTGTAGATGAGGTTGATGCCGTGATCATGATGGTGAGGACGATGGATAGGACGAGGCGGGATTAATGTTTTCTGTAGGATTGTCGTTGATGTTGTCAATAGGAAAATTTCACTGCTAGAGTTAGCCCACGCGGCAAGATTGGTTATTTTGCCGATTCTGCCGGCAAAACTAACCTCAAGTAGTTCTGCCCACAACACTATCGGATGATCAATATGCGGTGACGTACTGGCGGTGAACTTAGCTCATTTCTGGCACGATTGGGGTGTCAAGGAAGCTCTTTCAGAAGTCGAGGCTATGCTTAGCAAATGAGCCGACCTAACTCAATGGGCAGCGAAGCCTCCGAATTTATAGATTGATGAACACTAATTGCGTCCATATGTATGTTGGAGCCTCTCCGTGGGATCCAGGGGTGACCGCCGGTCGCTCTTCGTCGTCTTGATGTCAGATAGCAGCTACATACATATTGTGGCAGCGGGTCCCTGATTCCAAAACAGAGCAGATGCTTACTTTGCAGCCGACCGGTGTGTGGACTGTGAGCGGAGAAATTTAGATTAACAGCTTCCCAGTGCGCATAAATCAATTACTTACTCGTTGTTCATGGAAACCAGAAAGAACTGCAGTGTGCCAGCGAAATTAAATATTGCTGTTCGTGTTAGGATAATATAGAATACCGGTGAACATAATACTTATCGCCATGCATGGGTTCGATTACAGAACTCCAAAACTGAGTACTCACTTGCTTTATAGCAATTGTCACGAATAACTGGTCGACCATCGATCTCCGAGCCATTGCACGACAGTTGCTACAAAACATTAATATTGATACGACAGCAAAATACAAGTATTCTGTGAAAATGTCCTTGACCTCGTGGAGCTTAAGAAGAAAGAGATGTTTCGAACAGATGGCCATCAGTGTCACACTGTCACAGTCAGTCACATGTTGCATCGGCATCGGGCATCGTGCGGTTCGGTTAACCTTCGCTTCGAAATTGACAGGAATCGGTCCACCCTTCAAAGCTCTGACGATTTAAGTGGTGCGTGTGTACACTAACTCATCCAGTCACCTTCAAGAGATGGCGACCTCAATTCAGCTCCCATCAGACGCAGTCCCTTTCAACATCTTTGCCTTAACATCAATGCATGCAAATGATAGATACCGTGGCGCTGTTGTAGAGGTGCGTATCATTAGATTAATTATCGTACGAAACTAAGATAAACCCAACGCATCATCGATTGTTAGGACCTGCAACTTCCCCCTGCATTCTGTTTACCCTCTTCCGAATCTGTATCTCGCGCAATGGAGTCAGCATATGATCGTGACTTCTCCCATATACCGTAAGTGCGTATCTCCCACGAGCGCCATGGTCTAATTTTTCATGTTCAGCGTCCTCAACCGTGATCGTCGTCCGCTCGGGTACGTAGACGTAGCTGCTCTGAAAGAGAAATGGGAAGCAGGCACAGCATCGCCAGTACGTGTTGTTATTAAATCAATAATCCCTTGCATGCTTAATCCGACGCTCAGAGCGACTCCATCAGTAAATACATGATCAAGTTCAATCGTAGTGCATCTCAGCATTACAGTCTCATAACGCCCTTGACTCCCCTCGCGGAACTGGCAGATTTTTTGCAGGACAATATCTTTGCGTTAGGTGCATCTTGATTGGAATGTTTCGGTTTTACGATTCTGACTTCTGACGGTGATTGTTATAGTTACAGACCAGAGCAGGAATTTTGTGCTTGCTGTGGCTACATCGCAAGATCTAAACGTGAGCCAGCATTTTCTTCATGCTTAGGATTGTCTGATTTTGTGTCTCTAGAATTTCGTGACGCGTAGGGGTCATTGATTTGATAACTGATGGACCATTTATCATCTTAATTATTAACTGTCAGCCATGTGGTTTTACATCTATCAAGTGCAACATGTTTCAATGTGGGCTGCGTTGGTGTACCATATCTTGGTTGCGAAGTTTAGAGGAGGTACATGTATGGTAATGATGTCATCTTTGCGACGGTATGATGCTGATTGTAGAGGTTTGTAATGACAACTATGATATATCGGATATGGTGTAATGGTTAACATTACCGCCTCTCAAGCTTAGGATTCGCGGTAGCTCGGGGTTCGATTCCCCGTATCCGAATTTTCTTTTTGTCATTCGTAGCGGTATTTACAGCGGAGTTGTCATACGCCATAGATGCCTTTGTCTTCGCACTGCGACGCACCCTATCATCTCAGTCAACGTTGTCTTTCCTCATTTCTTTTCCCCCGCCCGTCGCTCCCGTTTCAAACACACGACACTTCATTGCAACATTCAGTCAGTGCCTGTTGTTCCTCACGCATGACAGCATCTACTAATTCAGACACAACTGATGATTCAATAATGATTTCGCTAAAGGTCTTGACACTTGACACTTCCAGTTCCGTATATACGCTGCCCCATGAATTCCTCTTTGTCACTAGACTCGTAACCCTATTCCACATAATTCCAGGATTCTGACACAACCTGATTAGGGGACTAATAATTATTGACCAAAGCTCTCCCGGGCCAGCATGTTTCTCAATTCTTTCGCAGCAATGACTATCTCCTCTCCCTGCTTTAAATCCTGCTTTTCCTCCTCTCCCATCTCTACTCCTATGCTCTGTTCTATCTCCTGGATAGACCTCTTATTTTGCATGTCAGGTTCCAGCCTTTGGACCAACCCATCCACAGGTCCGATGAGCCACTCGAGATCAGATTCCAAAGCAATCCGATCCTTTGTGTCATTCACAAGGACATGAAGGAGCTTGAGATAGCCGCGGGGTGGCTTGAAAAAAACTTTAATATGCCTAGCATGTTCCCACGCCCTTCGGATCATGGGCCACTGCTCAGAATCGAGCGACCTCTGTCCACGTGTGATTTGAAGGAGAATACCAGCTATGCAAATGGTATGCATGGAGGTGGTATTGCAGTACACTGGAGTCATGTCAAAGCACCGACTTATATGGCCATCCTTAAACAAATGGGGGTGCCAGTTGGGTTTACTTGCGAGGGCAAAGACCAGTTTGAGATAGCACAAATCGCGGGCCCGCATTGTATCTGAGTGCAGATTAAGCACAGACAGAATGGTGCGGGAGAGTCATAGGCTCACACCATCAATGGCATCCATTGAAGCAATTTCTTCTCGGGCACCGTGAGCAGTGCAAAGAGTGGTATTATGTAATTTATGAGGCATCCCACTGTCCATGCAGTTAATGAGCCTCTCTATGAACAGAGGTTGTTTAGGGGAGCTGCAGCATACTCCCATAATACCCAGTAAAAAAAGGATGTCATATGTTGTTTCACGGTCATTGGAATAGATATCGTTGATGTAGTTCATCATCCAGTTGAAGTTGTTGGGGGAGTGGGATTGGCCTTTCAACAACATCTGCAGATCCCACAGCCCATCAGGGTCCTGAGAAATATCGTCAATAGCAAATGTGATGTCCAATGCCCCTCACAGCGATGTCAATGAAACCAAGGTATCATATTGTTCTGACATCGCTCATGAATAAATCTTCCCACACATGCCCAGGTTCCATATGATGTTGGAGGGATGTAGATCCTGTATCATGCTGAATGGAGTACAATTCCATATACTGTAGATTGGAGTATGATTCAGATCTTCAGTAAGCTCCAGAATGTGGCAGATAATGCTGAGGAGGCTCAATGCCCGGTGTACAACTCCAGTGCTATCTTCGTCATCTCCTTCTGGCTGGATCCTCAAGGGATTATCATGGTCATGTAGTATGTTGACCTTACCTCCACCCCATGCCCCGAGAGCCTCTTGGAAGTGCGTCAAAAGGGGCATACAGAGTTGAGGCAGAGCAGAACTACACAATCTCTTTGTTAATCATGGCAAAGAAACCACTGAGTGAGTCGAAGGCACCTTTTGTCAATCCGAACTATGTCTTTCTTGTCAACCTGAACTCCAATCATGACACAAGCAAGAATAACGCAATTGGCTACGATTTGTTTCAACGGAGATGATGGGGGTGGGGGTGATAGCAATTGTGATATCACTGTTATCACAAGGTCTTCAGTGTATTTATTCACTTGCCCAGTGACAAAGTGATAAGGAAGAAGATGTGACAGCTGCTCATGGACAGAAGGGGGAGTCTCTTGCCAATAAGTATAACACCTGGATTCACCTAGACGACAAAGATTCTTGGTTGTTTGAAATATTTTCATGTTGGTTATGTGCAAGCCCTCATCCAAAACCTCAAACACATCCTCATCATGTTTCCCACGGGCAATAAATTCCCCATGGACAATAAATTTGCCACGGTCAGAATATGCCTGAAGAATGCGTCCATGGTATAGATGAGTTAGAGCCATTCTACATGCTCGGGCCTTCTCCTCTAATGATGGTACGATGCACCTTTGAACAATGCAGCTCTCGAAAATACGAAACAGCTGATGCAGCGTGTCTGAAATGTCAAGACCCAGGGGCCATTCGACCTCCGGAACAAGCCTGGTAGCGGCGAGTAAGACTTCAGGATCTGTAGATGTCTCGAGCAGCCACTTGACACTAGGCACATTGAGATCGCTGATGGGCATGTCAGAGATGTCGAGTTTAAGGGTGCCATGACCTCCTGCCAAACCCTGGCTGAGCGGTTGTGTCTGTTGTGTCTCTTCATTTCCAGGCTTTGTTGAAGAGTGCTGAACCAAAGAACGCAGACAGTGACGAAGCCTAGTTATTAACCGCTGAAGATATCATCATGTGAATGTACCTACCCCATGTGCAGGGCCTGGAGAGTGAATGAGCACTGTGTATGATTGCAATAGTAGATTAGATCATCACCTCTGAATACTCCAGACAATCGGGTCCATCCTGATATGACGATATCAAGCAATTTGTTTGGCAGCTCTGTCATGAAAGGGTCAAAACCTGCGCACATGGAAGAAAACATAACTCACCGTATAGTGACTTCTTGAGCTGCTGGAAATAACTGGAAACTTGTTTGAACTTCAGGTCTAAAACCTCTGCAATGTTAATTCAGATGAGGAATGACCGCCATAATTCAGTAAGATCATCTTACTTTTGATGCACAACTGTAATATCTTCGATATTGGTGTCTGAAATGGACAAGTGGGAGATATTAAACATGCCATCACAGTCGGGGAATAAAACAAAAATCCAAAGACTGTCGTTCCGGTAATGACCCAAGCGGTGCTCGCCTGCTTGTACCACATATTGGCGCCGAGGGCGATCCCAAAGAGAAGAAGGGATATTTGAAGGAGGACCAGAAAGGATTGCAGGATAGCATCGAAATGCCATTTGACAAGGCCATTGAACTTCTTTTGCCTGCACTTTGCTTGCTCCTCCTCCAAGCCACACACATATCTCTCCAACTTGTAGTACCCCAGCCACCGCTTGCCCAGTACAGCCCCAAATGCAGCGAGCAAGCTCATGGACAGACTTGCATATGCGATCTTATTGATCCATAAGGACGGTGTGGTCGGAGACCACGTAGATGCCAGGTCTGCAGGCATGGATCCTGCCTTGGCGAGGTTTCCGAGTCCGATCAGCACAATTTGCTTTAAAAAGGGCATTTGTGGTATTGCTGGGGTCGGGACTGAGATTAGACTCCATTGCGATGATGAAAGCTGAGCTGACAGTGGTGAAAAGACCAGACTAACTAAACATCAGTCTCCAAATGGAACAAAGATAAGCACACTAAACTTACGAATATCAAGACAATGTCCATGTCAGTTGTGTATCAATCAAGGAAGTCGCCATCATGTTCCACTGTGACTCTTTTGTACAACCACCAGAAATGAGACTGATCGTCCTTGCCAGTCTTCAATACAATGGTTGAGTCCTGAAGAACATCCAAGACTTGCTTCATGATATTTGCTCTGCATGTATGTTGTCGTCAGCTGTGATTGCTTGACTTCAAGTTTTTTGCTCACAAATTGCTTAGAGTCACTGGCCTGTCATTCTACGCCCTGACCTGTTCCTCTCTGAGACGATTGAGGAGCATATTTGACAACATTATTGACAAGAACTTACAGTGCTAAACCTCTGACTAGTGGAACATTGGATGCACTTTCCTGTACCTGAGGTCCCGACAGCCGTGAAGGTCCAGCATTTGAGCTGCAGTTCTAGTGAGGAATGGTGCAGATGCCCATCACAGCAGAAACACTTACATCCCTGATGGCAGTTCCACTGAAGGTTTAAGATCTATCTTCCCTCTGTCTTACAGTTAGACGGGTGACAGATTCCAGGAAGCTCCAACTTACTCATTGATGGGTCCTGTGGTGTCATCTTGCTGGGGAGGCTGCTCATTGTGGGTGTGCTGATCCTTGGTGTCATTGGTACCTGGGCCTGATGCTTGTGACATGAGGGATTTATACCTTTGAATATATTGGCTTGCAAGAAAGAGTCAAAGACTAGTGAGAGTCTTGTGTGAGCAGACAGAGCAGAGTGGTGGTACAGCAGGTGGGTTAGGTGGCTATGACTAGTGATGAACATCGAACACGTGCTTGCAAGTGTTGATGCCAAGGGTTTTCGTGAGTGCTCCCTGTAGTGAACTGATTCCCTTACCATGGTGACAAATCCCTTTGCAAGCCCTGGTCTTTATGAGATATCATGATGATGTTTATCGCATTTCAAGACTGTTGTAGAGAGCTGATTTCTGCTGGGCTCAGCAGAAATCGTACTACCTAGACAACAAATATTTAGGTAGATCTTTAGCATGACCTAGTCTGCTATACTTTCAGAGCAAGTGCATTCAATCCTATAGGGGTAGCTGTTTGGTATTAGTTTAGATAGTTAGTTATCAATAATAGGAAGATAATCCGAAGCTAGGAACTACTCATCTGAAGGAAAATTGTCGGGTCCAAAAATATCGGAGTCGGGCCGGGCGTCGGACTATGTGTCAGACTGTCGGGAAAGCGTCAGACGGTAAAGAAATGTGTCGGAAGTGTGTCAGATTGTCAGTCAAATGAGTGTCGGATGTGTCGGAGTGTTTTGGAGAAAAAGAGCAGATAGATATTTTGCAATACAATAAAGTACTACTAATATCCAATGACTTCCATCCTACTACTGAGTAGGGAAAAGTAAGTAATGCAATAGGTAGGAAGTACTAGATATTAAATAGTGACCATGTAGAAATTCGGACTGCTATAGGCGAGAGTAGTAGCAATATTTCGGGTCTGAATCCTATGTAATAGGACATGTGGTACTGCGGACCATGAGAAAACATGTAATAACGCTGTATACAATGCTTAGCAAGTCAAAAGGAGTAAATACGCACCTAGTGGGGATAGATGCGACTGGACAGGACATAGGGAGGACTGGTCCGATGCGCAGGAATGTCAGGTCGGGATCGGACATGCATCGGACTGTCGGAAAGTGTGTCGGGTTGGGATTGGACTGTTGGACTCGGGTCGGGGTAGTCAGAAGTGCATCGGACAAATACTGTTTGACATCAGTATCAAAATAGCTGGTTCTGAGCCCAGCGCCGTGACCATCATTACACTGTAGCGGTGCTAGTCGAAGCACCAGTCCCTGACTTTAATGAAGCTAGCAAATAGTTGATCAATATACAATATATGATCAAGTATGTACGACAATCGTAAATCAGATGCAGCACTGCAAACTTGAGGTACTGTACTGGGTGTCTTGAGAGAAACACAGTCATTCCCCAACTCTACGGAGGTCATGTCAGATGTTGAAAACATCCAGGCATCTACAAGAAAATCTGCAAGTGCAGGAACTGATTACCTCATTTGCATTCTATCAGGTGCATCCTGACCTTAACGGCTTTATAAACAAATTGTTAAGTGATGCTCCAGCAAGACAAATGGATCAGAAGGCATGTGAGGCCATATTCGAGTAGTATTGTTAAGGTGCCATTTGGACAGCGAATTCCATTTTCAAATTTCGGATTCGTGGTCACATGCAACATAATTATATAAGCTGGGTTACCGTATCAGGTTCCAATACGATAACGATCATCAGCGCTGTACGACGACCATGCCAGCTGCTACCCTACAACAACTTGACTATGATGGACCACTTGGGATGGTGCAACAAGGGCGTATACAGTGCCTGATGTTTATTCTAGTTGCTGTTGTTGCCCAGGCCCTCATAGACTATCAGACACACTTCCTAACCTGCCATGCGCGCATACCCTATCACACATCTGCTTTAATGGGCGAAGCGTGGGTGTTGGAACTCATGGTCGGTCACCCTGATCGCATCAAACACAATCTCAGTGTGAACCTCAATGTTTTCAATGGTTTGTTGGAAGTCCTACAAGCCAATGGGTTTGTAAGGTCCCACAATGGAGTTTCTGTGGAGGAACAGCTTGCAATATTTCTGTACTACACCTGTGTCACAGGGCTCTCGACCCGCCATATTGGAGAAAGGTTCCAATGTTCATCAGATACAGTCTCATGGTAAGTAGAGAATCAATATTGTATTATAATTCGTCTAAGATCAAACTTATGACCCTAGGTACTTCAAGCGCATGTTACTGTTCTTTTCAACACCCCCATTTTACTCCTCACAGGTTCAATTCCCTAAACACAACACTCCCATCTCTCCCACAATCTTAAACAATGCGCATGTCTGATTTTTTGATCAGTGCCTTGGTGCTGTTGATGGTTCTCACATCCACACATTCACCACCATTGAGGACCAGCCGTTCATGTGGAACCATAAAGGATATCTCTCTCAGAATTGTCTTTTCATGTGTGATGTCGACTTCTTTTTTATTTACTCGCTTTGTGGGTGGGATGGCTCTGTCGCTGATGCGGCTCTCTGGAATGACGCGCACACAAAGGACTTGCATATTCCCCCTGGAAAATACTTCCTCACAGATGCCAGCTTCAGGTCATGCAACGCACTGCTTGTTCCATATTGCGGTGTGCGCTATCATCTCAAGGAATGGTGGCAGGCTAACCTCAGGTATGTTCTCATGTTCTCATTCTCACAGCTTTGCTTGACCAGTGCATTTTTTAAGGCCTCAGAATCCAAAGGAACTATTCAACCTCTGGCATGCAAAACTGGGCAATGTAGTGGAACAGATTTTCAGGGTAATCAAGCACCAGTGGCAAATTTTACAACTACTGCTAGAGTACAACATGAGCATTCAAGCACGAGTGCCAGCGGCTTTGTGTGCCTTGCACAATTTTATTCTGAGGCATGACCCTGACACTGACCTACTCGATCAAGATGAATACAACGAGAACAACTGCATCATAGATGACAGAGAGGATGGAGGGGTTCATGGGGAACTTGGGGATGGGCCTGCTGATGCTGCTGAGAGACAGCGTGCAGAACAGCGTCATGACACTATAGCACAGGCGATGTGGGAGGACTCCAAGATCACATAATACAGTAACATACACCCGTCTCAGATGGGCAGCCAAACGTGACAATGTACCAATGGGGACGGGCTATCCAATGTGGGCCCATGCCAATAATTGTACCATGATACATGGGTGGGCCGAGGTCATGTGTGTATCCAAGACAAATGGATGGGCCGGGGGTATATAATACAGACAGTAGTATAGGAATGTACTAGTATACAGGACATTATGGTGAATCCGGTCTTACAATGGAGATGGGTAGGCCGAGGGTAAAAAGTATAGACATTGGTATATAGATATACTACTATATGGGACATTACATGTAATGAATACAGTGTGCAGTGGAGATGGGTGGGCCAGAGGAATGCGTGTACCCACATGACAGGGATGGGCCAAGGCCAGTTACCGGAGAGGAATGGGCCAGGTGCAGAGGAGGAAACAGATGGGCCAGGTATACAGGTTGTCTGGACGGATGTGTGTACCCACTCATATGGATGGGCCGAGGCTGATTACCAGAGAGGAATGGGTCAGGTGCACACGAGGGAAACAGATGGGCTGGAGGAATGTGTGTACCCAGGGTGAATGGGTGGGCTGAGGGTATAAAGTGGGTTGGCCGGACAGATGTGTACCCATCTTACACGGATGGGCCGAGGCTGGTTTTGGAGAGCAATGGGCTGTAAACCAGGGCAAATGGATGGGCCGGACATATGTATGCACTCGCCTTACACGGATGGGCCAGGGAATTGTGTGTACCCATGGCAAATGGGTGGGCCGGGTATGCAGGTTGGCCGGCCAGATGTTTGCAGCCAGGGCAAACAGATGGGCCGGATGTATATATGTACCCGCCTTACACGGATGGGCCAGGCGGACGTGTGTAACCAATGAGAACGGGTGGGCCAGAGTAATGTGTGTACCCAGGGCAAACAGGTGGGCCAGAGTAATGTGTGTACCCAGGGCAAACAGGTGGGCCGGAGGAATGCATGTACCCAGGGCAAACGGGTGGGCTGAGGGTATAAAGTGAGTGGGCCGGACGGATGTGTACCCACCTCACACGGATGGGCCAAGGCTGATTCCCGGAGAGGAATGGGCCAAATGCATACGAGGACACAGATGGGCTGGGTATGCATGTTGACCAGATGGATGTGTGTAACGGGTCAAACAGGTGGACAGGGCAGATGTGTGTACCCAACTTACACATGGATGGGCCGGATGAATGTGTGGGCCAGGTGAATGTGTGTACCCAGCGCAATCGGGTGGGCTGATGTAATGTTTACCCAAGGCCATTGGGTGGGCCGTAGACAAGTGTGTACCCAGGGCGAACAGGTGGGCCAGGGCAATGTGTGTACCCAGGGCGAACAGGTGGGCTGGGTTATGTGTGTACCCAAGGCAAATGGGTGGGCTGGGGGATGTGTACTTAAGGCAAACGGGTGGGCTGGAGTATGTGTGTACTCCAGGCAAACGGGTGGGCCGGAGTATGTGACACCGGACATCCGGTCAAAGTTATCATCCGGTATCTATGAGAGTATGTAGTATAGATCAGGTAGGTACTCAAGGGCCATCTGACTAAAATTTGTATACAATGTGTACAATAATGTCTCTACACAGAGGCACTCTGCTCGACCAGGTCACCATATTTCACATTGCCATATTTTGCATACTCTGTTCTCGGAGTTCCAACAAAGTTATGGATACTATCTCGCATGTACCATGCAGTGACAATCTGGTTGCCCTCCTCCACGTGCATATGATGTCTCACAAGCCGACACGATGAGGCCAACATTGACCCAGAGTTATATAAGAATTTTATCCCAAGATTAATGAAATCCATGATGACCGGATGGTAAATACCTGCGGTGGTCATGATATCAAATGCCTCCGGTCAACATTTCGGATCTCTATGAGGTGGTGACCAACGATTGCAAATGACTGACACCACATTGAAAACAGATGTCCAACGTTGTAAATGATAGCACATATCATGCAACTCGTACCAGCTCACCCATTCACCCAGTCTGACTTGGGTTTGAATTCCGGCAAGATAGAGATCCGGATGCATGACACGAAGTGCAGCAGAGACAAGGATACCGGACCTTTGGAGGGAGGTCATGATATTGTGACCATCAACTCCCTTTAATGTGGCTGATACATCAGGTGAGAAACCATCTTCTGCATCAAGATTTGGGAAACTGTATTTCTATGACACTTCAGATGGGTAACCTGAATTCATATGAACAGGATGTACCTCTCTTCCTTGCTAAAACCAAGCTAGAGATATATTGAACCGGGGGTGATCTTCTCATCCAAACTCGGATAGAAATTGGACTTGTGAGTCCGCCATTCAGTAGGCTTGCTGATCGTGATGCTATTGTTCAGCAAATTGCCCATGGAGTTTGTAGCACAATGCATATCTGTCTGGATACACCCGGATGAGATGAAATACAAAATGAATGCCAATAGATGACAGACCATTATCATGCCGGTCATGGCTCCAGGCAAATACCAGACAATAATTCTGCCCCAGAATCAATGATGACACTTGGTTTTGCCAAGATCCGATGTTCTTCAGGAGGGAATCTGTCCAAAAGACTTTGCTCTCGTTTCTCATTTCGACCGGATTCATATTTGTCAAGGGATTCATTATATCTAACCATGTCAATGTTGAGATGAACTATTGGCAAGTTAGTCGACCGGAAAGGATGATATATATACAAAAATGAATACCAGGATTAGAGTAAGCGATGGCCAGGACATTGGCAAGTTGCTCCAAAGCAATACAGGTGTCGATATCCAACAGTCCAATGCTCATTTGCTTTGCCGGCCGTCCATGAATTTTGGACATAAAGGTATCATACACCAATTCACTGGCAAGGTCGGTCTGGTATAATGCCCAGTCTTGTGGGATACTCACCATGTGTTGAGGAACAAAATGAGTGATGAAGAAAGAAAAAGAAGACTGGTTGGATTGATCCATGACCAGGATGAGCAGGTATTAGCGTCATTCACATGACCAGATGTAAGCTAGAAATCACCACCCATGTCTATTGCGATTGAATACAATAAGCAGTATAAAATATACAAAATGAATGCTTTTAGATATCACATTATGCTCGACTGTCCTTTGGATGCACTGTTATCTGCATTCAACCGGTCCATGAGCATCTGTGAGGAAACCACAGCCCTCGTGATCTCCTCAACCGGCCCAGCTAAGCATGCCAACCTATCACTTGAATGTGCAAGTTTCATCATTCTCCCTTGCAATATTTCCATGAGATCTTTACCAATTGCCGTCTGACGGCACTTTGCAAGTGATACTGATCTGATTGTCTCCAGTGTATGAACCGGACCAAGCTTAAGCATATATGGAAGAAGGCTGGTTTCCACATGATCCGGCTATTATAATATTGAATGTTGGATTTGGTGAGGATCCTGTGCGGGCTGTCAATGTTTCAAGGACTCACAAGTTCTACAAAATGGCCCTCAACCAACTTCATCACATCTTGGACAGATGACTTTGGCAACATGTCTGACACCTTGCAAGAGGCAAGATTGTCCTTTCACCATGCATTAAAGTAGTCGGGCATACGAGCAATGTCATATTCATCTGACTCCTTGCAGTGCACAGAGAGGTTCAATGCTTTAATATCTGTCAAAAACTCAGTGACATCCGGCTGCTGGTCCACCAATGTATGTGCAATCATGATTGCAATCACATGATGAAGGGGTGTTGGAATGACAGCGGAGCACCTGCTGAGGAAGGATATATTGATGAAAGGTGTGACAAAGGTCTATATGACAAATGACAACTTTGAGATCAATACAATATCAGGATGACCGGACACATACCTCCATTTCCCATTTCATGAGTTTGTGGAAAGCTTCTGCATATCCAGGAAGGGAAGTGGAAAAGCTCTTGTCCACATACAGGCGCATGGCCAACAAACACGAATTGGCATAGAATAGGGCACGAGAAATATCTCCAGCAGTGACCTGACCATCTGAATAGGCCATGATGACTTGCTCAGAGCCAACCAGATCTCCAGTGTGGTTTATAGAGTGTGAAAGAAGGATGATGTAGCAATTGTAGTGGTGATTGTTGTTGTTGTAGTAGTGGTGAAACAGACAAAGTATGATTATGTACATGTCCTATCAAATTACATATCGACCATTCTAGGAAGTATACAACCTGGTACCATGAATCATCTGACAACCTGTATATCACCCTGAATATCCAGACTTAGTTTGCAAAAAGAATCTGCCCCATGTACGGCCAGGTCGTGGTATATTTGAGATTGTCGGGCAGCATAACATGCATGTCCAGTCATCTCATTGGAAGCAGCATTGTCCATGTGAGCAAGCCATTGCTTGGCCTTATGCTTGAAAAAATTGATGGTCCACTGCATTTCATGTTTGACAAGAATGACCTCTTCATTCCAATGATCACAAAGTGCCTTGGTCCAGAGCCAGTTTACCCGATAAACTATTCAGTGGGTGAGACTGGATAACATCATATCACCGGATGCGATGGACACTCACATCCTGTCATCCAGTCATTTCCGGTTGTATCACCCTAAACATCAAGCAACCAGAACCATGCAAGGGTAGCGTTCCTCTGACCACGTGCATTTGGATCAGCCACTGCAGCGCTTGCCTTCAGGTGTTCTTTCTTCAACGGAAGATATTTCTTCAAGAGGTTGTGATTGGGGAGTCGATCTAGCTGCAACCGGCATTTCGAGTATATCCTGGCATTGAGTTTGACTGCTGCTTCCACCATACGAACTCAAGTCCATGCCCGGGTTGAGGTGGCTTGTGACTTAGCTGACCGGACAGTGTCCCGGAATATCACAGCCTTATCTACCAAATGAACTCTAATTGCATGGAGTGCATCATTGGCTTGGCCTTCATGGAGGACAGTTTCTTCTTTCATGAGATTGGTTAGACCCAATGCCTTGCATCTGGCTTCACCAAGGTTAGAAGGCAAAGGTATGATAGTAAGCTCTGGTTGAAATATCAAGGCATGTGTTTCCGGATCCGGATGTTGATCATGATCATCGAGATCAGAATAATCTTCTTCATCCGGTGAATCATGATCCCTGTTTACCGGAGAATCCAGTTTGTTTTCATCGACTTCGCATCCAAGATATGTAGATGCCATCTCGAGAAAACTTGTTATCTGAGTTTGCAGCTTATCCCTAAGTTGGGCCACTCTCAGTAATTGAATGTCTGTAGGATGTCTCCCAAGCCTTTTCACATCTCTAGAGAGAGAGATTTGAAATTCTTCTATGGTGAGACCAGTTGCAAGCCAAGTGGCAGCTCCTCGTCGACTAATAGAATTGGCGACCAAATAATCCGGATGATTTTGAGCCTGTAGCAGGTGCAACTCCTGCTGCTTTCTGGTTGGAGCTGTACATCATGGTATTCAAATCATAATGAGAATGCCATCAGGCCCGGATGAGTAGTGGTAAAATTCGACACTTACCCTTTTCCAACTGGACCTCATAAATGTCCATGGCTGTTAAATCCTCCAATCTGTTCTTGTGAGCAAGTGCCTCTTCCGCTTCCCAAAGAATGACCATGTCAGGGTGAGCCGTCTCATTAAGATTTTGAAATGACTTTTTGCTCTCTTCAGCACCCCTGGCAGCCTCTTTAAACTTTCTGCAGAGAAATTTGGCTGCAGGGCAAGTTAGCCAGGAAGGAATAATATGAGACCAGAAGATTTTTGTACATCCGGCCAGAGGTTGGCAACTCACTCATGTGTATCATTTTAATGAAGTTACAATCATTCATTTGATAATCCAATACCTCTTTGCGATGTGGAGTCCCCATGCCCCTAGCCGATGGAGAGATTATGTTCAAAGATGCCCAGAGTGTTTCCATGATCTCTCCATCAATCCTGCCGGTTCCACGGATAAAATTTGATGCATACCGGACATAACAGCTGTCCTGATGACTGTGTACATGCCACAAACCTATTCCAGGAATGATGTCCATGCCGATGGGGATGGAAAGGTACATGCTGGATGCGATCCAGTCCTTCAAAAACTTATGATACTGACAATTTATGTCGTAGAAGGTTATGGCGTGGGAGATTCCATCTGTATTGTAGTTGAGTGCTTGACTCAAGGCATAGTCCATGTTCATCTGCCTAATTATTTGGGATGCTCAGTAAGACCAGAAATGCTTGTAACTGGATGTGATGGTCATTCACCTTTCACCCTTCTGAAAATCCACCATGGAATGTGGGACAAAACATCTGTGCCGTGCACATGCACATCCTCCTATACCAGTGGCCTCCAGCTTTTGCCGGGAGGTGTTTGCTTGATTGACTGCATGGTGATTGTTGCAATCTGACTCTTGTATCTTTCATCTCCAACCATGAATGCAAGACCATCCATCAATGATACTTCATCAGATGGATTCACTGGATGGAGGTGCTCGGCTTTGAAATTACCATCCATGACTAAAGTCCTGGTGAAGAGCCATGAAGGTGTGTTGTCCGGCCGGGTGGATGTACCGGTCGACAGGTCCAAGTTTATCCCTGGTTGTGGACATGCAGGGCAAAATAGGGTGAGATCACCGGCCTTTGGCTCATCATCTTTGTGAGCAAACCCATGCCACTTGTAAAGCTTGCATTGGTGCCACTTCCTGGCAGTTCTCATAAGTTCTCTGTAGCGATCCTACAGATCCTGCTGTTTAATCACCAGATCGCTGAGTACAGAGAATGAAAACTGACCGGAACCATCAATGGAAATATGCTCGAGGTCAGCCTCCGGATCTTACTGTAGTAATTCATGGCTGATGTACCACATTCGAGGTTGTCTAGCAGAAAGTCGTCCAAGACAGAGAATGTGAATGCAGTTTTTGGTCTGGTGAATGATGCTGGAAACAAGCCTGCTTGAAAGAGCTGCATATCCCAGGAGAGAGCACCGGGGCACTGGCAATATGAGATGGATAGAGAGTGAACACCGGATTTGTCTACTATGGTGATAGCCAGATGATCTGAGTCGGTGACAAGTGGAATAGAAGCTCCCTCCGGATAATCATCATAGTGTATATTTTCATTGGTATCTGGCCATTCAAATAGGTCTGATGTGTATTTAGTGCTGCTGGGGCATGGAGTACCATCATGAGCAAGGTGAATGTGCAGGCCAACTTTAATGAGTGATGTTTCTTGAAAAAATGATCCGGTCCATTGACTGATGCGATGGAATGGATGTCTTTGATGCTGGGTTCTGCAGCAGTCTGTGCAAAACAGGGGCTCATTAAAACAGCCATGGCATTTATAAACCCCATCCTTCTTGCAGACTGAACAAAGCCGGTCTGGGGGAGGGGCTTCTCTGACCATTAGTAAATTGATGTAGTCCTTGAACTTGTGCTTCCATTGCCGAAGATATTCATTCTGCCCCTGCATTATCCGGTCAGATGCAGACTGCAGAAATCAGAATGACTGCTGCTTGCCAGAGATTTTGGTAATTTAAACTGAGGGATGTCGCCTTGATCAAAGTCAAAGTCCTCACCCTCGTGAAGCATCTGAGAGAACCCGGCTGTTTGCTTTGAGGGAGATTTTGTTGGTGATGATGTCACCAACTTCGTTTTTGGAGACCATGAATCTTTCACCCAAGATGACCTCGATCCTCTGGCTGTAGTTTTTTCCTTGAGTTTATATAGCTGAGGCAATTGTTTCTTCATTGGAGGAGTGTATATGATTCCCTGTTGTTTACTAGTCTTTGCCATGATTGATATCACCACTTAGGATTGTTGGGCCGGGCAGTATGGTTAAGTATGATGACCTGTAGGCATATGACTTCACGTTCTGCCTTCATTCTCCTTCAACTCCGGTCTCTGAGCGATTTGAATTGCCAGACCAGCACAACATCTTCTGTTCCTGTTAGTCATTGAGGTACCTCGGGTGATGAGAAAGGGACTGATTTGATCATCCAACTAGATCACTGTTCTCGGGCCATATTAGTATAAAGGACAATAATGTCACTGAAGATCTCGGAATATTATGTCCATTTAGAATATATTAAGGTCTGCAATTGCCATAAGTTGTGTCATATCTGAGTCAGTTAACCAAACACATGGTAATCCTGCCATCATCCCAAATTTGAGTAGATTTCCTCCGGTATCAATGTGTCTCCCTATATGCCATATTTAAGAGTATTACTGTATGGGACCCAGGTGCTATATGATGAACTTGGTCTAAGTTCACATTTTTTACAATTCTAAGTTCTACAATACAGAAACACAGGACATATTGAGCCTGAGGGTGACATGCTGGCGAACAATCTCTTGTTCGGTCTAATGTTGAGTACATGTGTGATTGGCTATGTAATCTTATACTGTATCCTTTCTTCTACCAATACCTCAACTGCTTTGCAATGGCCCGATCCAACTTATCAGCACACAGTCCCCAAAAGACCAAGCAGAAATTGACAAAGGAAGAGCTGCTGGTGTTACAATCCCACCTAGAAGAATGGAAGGAGGCCATCGGCAAGAATAGACAAGTGATTCTGCATGCAGTCATAAGAGAGGCCAAGATGCAAGCCCCTAAGATGGATTCCTGGCTGTTGAAGAAAAGGAAATCCGTGAGCAACTGATTCTCTAATTGTATGCATCCTCATGATGTATGAAGATGTACCAGGACTGGTTGTATAATCGGAGAGCTGAAAAGACTCTCAAAAAAGAGAGTAAGTTCGGTAAGAAATGGACTGCCTGGTTGGTGATAGAACACCAGTACAAGAAGGAGATAATTGAAAAGACTGGAGGAAGGCTGGGAGGAAAGGAAATGATTAAAAACTACCAGGGAGCGGTCAATGCAATTATGGGAGGTTTATCTGAAGAGCAGCTGGAGGAAGCGAAGAAGACTGCAATAGAGTGGTCTAGCAAGGCTCCTCCTATGGATGTCCAGGCTGAGTTTGCTCAGAAGAAAGCTCTGGGTATGATGAAAGATCTTGCAACTCAGTTATGGAGGCAGGCTGGTATAAGGATATTCATATTGTCAGCATGGAAAACAGAGGAAGGGGAAGTGAGGATCAATGGGTGAGTTGCATTCTCATGCTCCCAACTGGTAAAGGGCTGATCAGGTCATCAGAATGGACTTCAATGAACAGTTGGAAGGTAATAGTTTTACCAATACAAAGGACTGGAAGCCCATGTTATCAGAGTGGAATGCCTATGTCAGAGAAGAGTTCGGTGAGCTTCTTTTATGTGCAATGTCAATTGATCCAGTCAAGTACTTACACCAAGTTGTGATACCAGTAGTCGATCAGAATGATGAGGATGACAATGAGGATCGGAGGGGAAAGGATAGCGGAAAGCAAAGGAGAAAAAAGGAGGAGTTTGCTTTGGAGGTGGACACCTGTGGGCTTCCGGTCATACCGGATATCGAGGACCTCAGCCTAGAGAAAAAAAAGTCTCTCATCTGCACATTCCTCACAAGACACTACAGTACGTTTCGTCAACTAAATATCTGAAGATTCAATCACACAACTATATATCTTGCAGGGTTTTGCAGTCAGAAGCCAAAGGTTTCCGTTCCTTGGTCTGCAGTGACAGAGGCTCAGGATGATTTTATCGAGTCCAAGTTTTTACCTGCTGGTGTGAAGATCAAGGACCCGTCAAAGCTTCAGTTGCATGAAGCTGATAAGCTGTTAGAGCTCTGGCATCAGAGACAAAAGGACAAGGTTCCATCAACATTTGAATTCAAAGGCTGGCAAAACCACAACAAGGAGATGAGAGAACCAGTGAAGAGGACCTCCAGACAGGTGGAACAAGACTTCAGTAGTGAGGGGGAGGATAGTGATGAAGGTGCTGGGGATGGCACGAGGTCCGGTCTAGCAACTGCAAAGACCAAGGCACCGGTTAAAATGCCAACCGGAAGGATGGAGCCCGAGTCACGAAAGCTGACCAGATGTGTGGAGCAGGAGTCGAGTAGTGAGGGGGAGGATAGTGACGAAGGTGCTGGCGATGGCACAAAATCTGGTCTGGCAACTGCAAAGACCAAGGTTCCAGTTAAAACACCGACTGGAAGGATGGAGCTGGAGTCACGAAAGCTGACCAGATGGGTAGAGCAGGAGTCAAATAATGAGGGGAAGGATAGTGATGAAGGTGCTGGATATGGCACAAGATCCGGTCTGACAACAGCAAAGACCAGTGTTCCGGTTGAAAAACCAACCGGCAAGCCGACTAGGAAGACAACCAAAAGGATGGAACACCAGTCAAGTCGTGGGAGAAATGTAGGTGATGAAGAAGTCCAATTACTTCCTTCAAAGTCCAAATCAATTGGAAGGCAAAATCAAGCTGTTCAATCCGATTCAGAGCAGGAAGATGCTGTCCCGGTGAGGAAGATGCGTCGAAAGGAACCTACGCCAAAATCCACGGCACCTTCGACGACACAAGCTACTCATAAAACAAGGAAGACAACCAAAGCTCAAATTGATAACCCGGAGCCAAAGAGATCAGCGAGAACCACAAAGGTGTCTTATAAAGTGAACTACATGCAAAGGCAGTGATCATCCGGATCCATAGAATGTACTATACAAGGCTAGAGAGTATCAAGTGTATATATATACATCATGTTGACAGTCTATATATTGATATGAGTTGAAATGCCAGTAATAACTCATTGGCAGACTGAAGAACTTCCTGGCTGACAGATGCTTCTTCCGGTGACATTGTACTGTGGGCAATTTCCATATCCAACCAGTGGATCGCCAAGCGCAAATCGCCTACAGCATGCTGAATCACAAATCCAATGGGTACCGGTTCACCAACCGCAACTAAATACCAATAAATAACACTGATGTTTCATAGTATGGGAGACATACATGATGGATCCGGAAGACCATGTACTGGATCCGGATCTGGAGTGGCGATTGTAATGTCCAATGGCCTGTCTTCCTGAACAGATGCCAGAGTTGTCCCAAAGCCCATGTCCAGAGGCTTGTGAGAAAGTTGAATATCCACTGGATTCACAATCAACAAGGTAAGGCACAACAATGAGAAGACTCACTTGAGTGATCCGGGTGTACCAGATGGAGTGTACAAAATCCCATATCCAAAGGGTGCTCGTCCAGGTTGGAGTGCATTGAAATCCGTATGCAAAAGGCAATTGTCCAGTTGGAGTGTGTCAAAACCCATATCCAAAGGGAGATCATCCGGTTGGATGTCCACTGGATCGACATGAGGATGGAACAAAATTAATGAATGGCACATACATGAGTGACAAGATGCCGGATCTGTGTGAAAGCCCATGTTCAAAGGAATCTGTTCCACTTGCATGTCTACTAAAGTTGCATTGAACAGTGTAACACAACACAATGATGAGACCTACATGACTGAACCGGACCATCACGAGCCGGAACATCATGAGCCGGAATGCTGCAAAAGCCCATGTCCAGAGGGTTGTTGATGATGTCAGGTGCCTGGTGGGTATCTAACTCGCTGCCTGGTGGAAATCCCATGTCCAATGCTGATATGGATGGAGGAGTCGATGGCCGGTCAACATTGTGTCGAGGGAGGAATCCCATATCCAATAGTTCTGTCTCCGGTTGACCTGGGATGTGGGCAAACCGGATGTCTCCTGACCAGATGTGTTCCATCTGCTTCAATCGTCTACCATCCTTCCACCGGTCGTGAGCTGACAAGACATCTGAGTCTGGAGAAAATCTTAATTATCAGTCTTTTGTAGCAGCACAAGACAACACTCACATTCCCCCATGCTGGTGCAATTCATCCAAGGGTTGCTGTAGATCTGCTGCTCACCTTGCTGCTCCAAAATGTCAAACACTACCAATGAATGTTTAGTGCCTTCTAGGTTCTGAAAATGGATGGTTGTGTACCTTCGGCCTCGTGAGATAATTGCAAGTTATCTAGAGTCAGCTCTATGGATGATATCTTCTTGCGGCCTGATTGGAATTTATGCAATCCCATCTCTGGGAGATGATACCTTTTTCCAGCTTGCATCTGTGCTTCCAAAACCTATGACCAGATGCTTGAGAATTTCATAATGATAAAGTACGGCATGTTTTCACACAACAATGAAATTAATTTGGCATACCGAACCGGTGCATTGACAACGTATCCGGCAATCTCCGAGATGACCCGGAGATCTGGTAGTAGTAAATTTTCCAACATTCATCATTCCCACCTGGTTCTCTTGTCCTAGCCAACCAGCTGCCCTTATCGTCTCATTGAAACCATGTCTTACAACACCAATACTTCTGCTGCTGCTGCCACAGCAAACCAGGCACTCATTGATCTTCTTGACAGGTTGAATGAGTTGGTTGAAGAGGTCCTCCATTCACAGTCAGAGGAAGATAAAATGAGATTGAGCCGGACCATTGCTTTTCAATTGGTATGTTTCATATTCTGTTATACATTGTAATATTGATTGGGTTGTAGAACAATGCAGCCCGCTCTCACCTCACAGTGGCCACCTACATCCCCCTTCGCCTGCTGTCAATGGCAGCTGAAATCCATCACGCTCAAAGGGGCACTGCACAACTGGCACAAGTACCGGATTGGAGTCGTGTTGGGAACAATGAGGACATTTGCCGGAGTCATCCCTTGTATTCAAAGACACTCAGTCCATCGTCCACTGCCACCATTCCTGCTGGCTCATCCTCTGCGCCTGAACCGGCAGGCCCATCATCTGCGCCAGAACTGGCAGGTCCATCCTTTGTACCTCAACCGGCAGGTCCATCCTCTGCGCCTCAACTGGCAGGTCAATCCTCTGAGCCTGAGCCTGCAGGCTCATCCTCTGCTCCGGCTCTGGCACAAACCTCAGCACCTCCAATCGCCACTTTGCCAGGCCCCAGTATCATCCTCAAGATCCCTGGTGGTGCAATGCCCGGCCCATCAAAACATCGCAAACACCAATTTAGCGTCAGCCCCCCACGTCTGGTCAAGAGGGCAAGGAAGATAGCCAAGTCCAAGCGAATCTTGAGCGACACCGATACTGACAGTGACAGAGTTCGCATGGGAAAGGACATGGGGTAAAGGGAAAGGGCAAAGGAAAGGCAAGAGCAAGGGCACCATTATTGGATGATGAGACCCAGGAAATGATGATGAAAGATGCCAGTCATGATCCGGAAGTCAAGGCAAGTCTCTTCTTTTCGCATATTGTACTAGCCTAACAAAAATATGCAGCCACCAAAACCGAGACAAAATGCGCTCAAAAAGGTATGTTCATTTGTTTATTATCAGAACACATTCACAGTTTTCTCAGAAAATACCAGTTGTTGACATCCGCACTCGGCTGATGCGAGCTTCGAATGCCAGAAACAAGGGTGGTGACCCTGCAGAAGACGAACCAGAGGAAGACGTAGAGTTAATTGACGACAAACGAAAGGTATGTATTTCTTCTACCTATTGGTGCATGCCTGATCCGGTTGCAGCCACATGTTGACCGGGTCAAAGTCAAGGAACCGGTATGTTTATTTCATTGCAATGCTGGTAAGTGATACTAATGTGATATTAAATAATAGTCGATGTCAGATACGAGGCATCTAGGAACAGAGAAGAGGAAGAGGGGGAAGCGTCCGCAGCCGGTGAGACAACCGGTCATTACTATCTGGTCAGCTCATCCTCATCCTTAGCAGCACCCCATCGATTCATCTTTTCTTCCGTGTAAGAGATGCACCAAAATGGAGGTTGAATGTGAGACCTGGCTCACAAAAAGGGGCGAGGTTGCCCATACTTGTACCTGTTGCAACAAGTGGAGGATGAAATGCGACCGGCCAATGTGACCGGACGTGCCTGCAATCACCGGGCCCATACCACCAGTCGCACCCATCACCACTCGCTCCAGGGCCACCAGAATGGCAAAGCAGTCTGGGCGACGCAAGGGCAAGTCTCATATATCTCGTCTCATCTCCACTGAGTACAACTCTTTGCTATAGATACTCAGCAACCTAGTCCTATTCCAGAGGAACTGGATGCTGATGTCGAGATGGTCGATGGTGCTCCTACGGTGCCAAGTGCTGCCCCAGTGGCATCCGCTGACGATTTTCCCGAGGACCATTGGATCAAACCCATGGACGATAGTATCCTGCCTCCCGCACCATTTGATGAGACACTGGATGAGGTCTGGTACTCTCCTATTTATCCGGCTTGCACTCAAAGGCCCCCCTCCCCTGTTACCACATTGATGTCCATTTCGTCTCATCAGTCTCCCCATCCTCTCAGCAATGCGCAGATTGAGGCTATGCTGGCCCAAATTCAGCTTGATATGGAGGAGCTACACACATGTGATGATACCATTCACAATGATCTGTCCAGTCGCATCGATGAGCTGCACGCCAACTATACAGAACAATTTGGCCTCCAGAAGGGACTGGTAGATCAGTTGACTGCTCAGGTGGGCGGAATTGCAAGGTACTTGAGGGACAACCAAAGGGCCGCTGCATCATCGGTCATCACTCCACCTGCATTCAATCCACCACACATTGTCGTCCCCAGTACCCCCATATTCCCCGAGTTCAGTTCTATCAGTGCATTAGGTCGCGCTGTTACCAACAATGTCTTTACTCCGGATGTGTTCTTGTCTCGTGCCTGCCCCACTGGAGATGGCTCGCCAGTGACAAGGCATGGGCAAGCACCCACATCTGGCTCTACCTCCACAATCAATCTGGTCCCCATCATGAGGGAATCCGGTCCATCCATTCAGCCCACTGGGGTACTGCCAGTACTTACTGACACGGTCCCAACAGAATCCATGCCTTCCACTAGCACCATTCGCATGTTGGTCACCGGGTCAGCAAATGTACCTGAGGATGGTCAGTCTGTCTCGGCTCCCTTGCCACAGTGTTCATTTGCACCTCAATCACGCCGACAAGGTCGGTCGGTGAGTGCTAAGCATGCAAAGGACTCGTCCGGGGATGGGCCCAAGTAATACTAGTATACATGATTCATTTTTTTCTTAGTCCATTGTATCTATGTATTTGATCGACCGGTAAATGTATTCAAGATGCACCAGACAATTGGTTTGTAAGATGGCCCTGATAAATTGGATGTACCAGACGATAAACCTTCAAGATCAATCCACCCAATGATGTATATACCAGGTGATAACATTGACCGGATGTCTGGTGCTACAAGTTTCTTCCGGCTTAGTTGTTTCGTTCTACATTGCATTTGTTGTAGATACTATTTTACATTGTACGTTTGTATACAAATGTCTATACTATATCACCTGGGTACACAAATCCATCCGGCCAACCTGTCTATCCAGCCCATCTGTGTGAGAGGTAGGTACACACATCTGCCCGGCCCACCTGTTTGCACCTGTCACATACATCTGTCCGGCCAACCTGCATACACGGCCCATCCATGTGCGAGTACACTTCCGTCCGGCCAATTTGTATACCCAGCCCACCCAGTTTATACCCTCGGCCCACCCATTCACCCTGGGTACACACAATACCCCGGCCCATCCCTTTGCCATGGGTACACACAATACCCCGGCCCACCCCTTTGCCCTGGGTACACATATTACCTCATCCCATCCATGTAAGGCGAGTACATACATACGTCCGGCCCATCTGTTTGCCCTGGTTACACACATCCGGTCGGCCAACCTGCATACCCGGCCCATCTGTTTCCTCATATATGCATCTGGCCCATTGCTCTCCGGAAACCAGCCTTGGCCCATCCGTGTAAGGTAGGTACACATCCATCCGGCCAAACCACTTTATACCCTCGGCCCACCTGTTTGCCCTGGGTACACACATTCCTCCGGCCCATCTGTTTCCCTCATGTGCACCTGACCCATTCCTCTCTGGTAATCAGCCTCGGCCCATCTGTATGAGTGGGTACACACATCCATCCGGACAACCTGTATACCCGGCCCATCCATTTCCTCCTCTGCACCTGGCCCATTCCTCTCCGGTAACTGGCCTCGGCCCATCCCTGTCATGTGGGTACACACATTCCTCCGGCCCACCCGTCTCCACTGCACACTGTATTCATTACATATAATGTCCCATATAGTAGTATATTTATATACCAATGTCTATACTTTTTACCCTCAGCCCATCTGTGTCCCTCGAGAATACATTCCCTCGGCCTACCCATCTCCATTGTAAGACCGGATTCACCATAATGTCCTGTATACTAGTACATTCCTATACTACTGTCTGTATTATATACCCCCGGCCCATCCATTTGTCTCGGGTACACACATGACCTCAGCCCACCCATGTATCATGGTACAATTATTGGCATGGGCCCACATGGGATAGCCCATCCCCATTGGTACATTGTCATGTTTGGCTGCCCATCTGAGACGGGTGAATTCACTGAAGGGGCTCCCAAGATAGTCTATCAAATCGACTTTTTCATCATCTGAGAATACAGTGCTTGCGCTGACCATTGCAACCACACGTGCAAGATCCTTTGCAGACATTGCAGCTGTGGTGTCTGCAAGTGTTTGGTTGAAGTCCTTGAGCATGTCAGCAAGACTGACCATCACACTGCTATTCTCCTGCTGCGCTTTTACAGCTGCTGAGGGAGGTCGGACTCGCTTTGACGAACTAGTAATTGAGATGTCTGAGCCTAGTGCGCTGGCCTTCCGCTTCTCTTGACGGCTGATGCTGGTCATAATGGAGGACACAGTGTCCGTGTCAGAAATGAGGAAGGTAGATGGAGTGGCTGGTGATGCTGGTATGATTCCAGGCTGAAATATGTGGTGTTTGACACTTGGAGAAGAGCCGATCTCATTCGTCACTGCAGTAAGCTGACTCAAGTTCAAGGTGGTGAGTGGTTACGCTAATGGTGGAGCAGCAAGTGGTTGTGCTGGCAGTGGTGCAGTGCTGCTACTAGCTGCAGCAGTGGCAAGGGGATCAGAGTGTGACATATGATGTGCAGCAGGCGGAATGGATCCTGAGTCCTCGGACAATGTGACTGGAGGTTTATTTTGGCAGACCCAATTGCCTCAGGACTTCCATGGCATCATGTGGTGAATGGCCTAAAAATGCAGGAAGCTCTTGTTCTTGAACGGTTTTGCAGCTTTATGGACCTTTCAAAATAATACAGGGTGAGTTGCAAGTATAGTTGAGACAGCCACTACATACCTTGACAAAATTCATCCATGTTGCTTCATACTCTAACGAAATTCCTGTGCCATCCACATCACTCCATGAGAATCCAGATGCATTCTTGATTTCGAGGACACCGTAATAAGAGGTCTTCAGCTACAGAAATTACAATCAGTATTGACACCATGCAGTGTGCCGGCACACCCATAGTAGTCAGTACTCACATTGGCCCATTTGGTCTGACAACTTGACCATACCCTCTCACCGCCTTGCTGCTGGTGAAAATTGTCTTTGAGATGCTGAGTGGCACCCTGGAAAACTGTTTTCTTGAAGTTTGTGCTGGTGGCATCACCTGTGGTGCTCATGTGTTGTTGGAGGTACTGGATCAAGGCAGCTTCCTCCTCAGTAGTCCAGTGAGCAGCAGGTTTGCGACATGTAGTAGTAGAGGGTGCATTAACCTGGCCTTTGGATCAAAGGGAATGGCTTGATCGTGAGCTCGATGAGTGAGATCTTGTCATGATAACAATGTGTTGTCAGCGTAAGTATGGAGTGCACCGTTCCACCGAGTGGCATCCGGGATTCTCCTGGAGAGTCCCACGGCAAGATCACATGATGAATGTTTGAATTTCGAACGTGAAATTCGCTGTCCAAATGGCACCTAAAATTACGGTGTCAACAAAGAAAATACTCACTGAGTGCTGAGTAATGGTGTTGGTCGGCCGAGTCAGGGATTGGTGCACGCGCCGCTACATGTGTAGCACTGAAAATGATCAACCACAATGCTATACTGGAAGCATACATATTATTTGTTTCATTTTGATATTTCCCCTTGTATGTATTCTGTATTTAGGATAAACTTTTTCGTGCGTGTCTGTGTTGTATTGCTTGGACAGAATAATGGTTGTAACGACACAGGTTGGACCTTGTGAAAAACTCGACAACTGATGCGTCGACATCCCCGAAGTTGCACGGAGGTAAATTTGAAACAGATTTACACCAACACCGACATCCCTGTCCAGTAAGTGTAAATTACTAGCTTGCTCATCTGAGAGTCACAGGTAGGATGTCCATACCAAATTGCCAATACCTTGCTCCTACAAGCTGCAGATCTTAGGTGGCAGTTCAAAGTTTTCTGGCATCGCAGATATCATCTATTCGAAAGGTAATTCCAGTGCATATGATATCTAAAACATATAAAAGCAAGGCATCTTCTATATCGTCCTCAAAATTATTTTATTCGATCCTTCATCACATCCTCACAAGTGACGATGCGTATCTTGTTTGTCCTTGCCGTTGTTGTTGCTTTGACAACATCTATATCTGCCAGTGACACCGTCACGGTGACTGAAAGCGACAGTTGTGTCTTCTGGTGCGCCTTCAATTGGGGTTGTACACTTGTTGAAGGTTGCCCCCACCGGACTTGCGTGAGTATGAGTAGTTTGCATCCATACTTAATTGCATGGCTTACCAGCTGGCAGTATCTCTTTGTATGCAGCTAGTGCGGTAGTGAGTCGTATTTTTGTTTTCACATCGGCGCAGTAAGGTTGATGGCACGACGCGTGGGTTACCAGTAGTGTCACGGTGTTGACGGGTTGATCAACGGATTTGCAATTTTATGACCGCTTGAGCAATAAAGATATCTTGGAATAGAGGATTCGCAGAATGATGTGTTACATTTCGAGAGTTACCGAGAACGGTCGGAGAGGTAGTAGTCAAACCACCTCTCGACTGAGCAAGGATCAACGGCAGGCAATGCTTCTAGCCCAAGAGTAAAATCACACTCAGACTTTTTTACTGGATTCCAGGCCCAAATTTGCATACTTTTGCTGTTGTTTTGCTGCATCATTTGGATGAAGATCGGATTTCAAGAATCAAAGGTGTTTGGCATAGAGGTCGACGGTGAGTACTTCTATTCTCTTGGCCACCTACCAGTATATTGACTCGGATAACTCATCTCAGGAGTCTTGTGTTTCGCAAGAAGATGTGCTTGGGTGGTTGCCGTGATTCTCTACTGATAAAGTTTTTCACCGGCCATTATATGTATCGGATATGGTGTAATGGTTAACATTACCGCCTCTCAAGATTAGAATTCGCGGTAGCTCGGGGTTCGATTCCCCGTATCCGAAATATCAATCGAGTTATTTTTTGGAGTCAGGGGCCAAATTCCATTGGATGGCCCCTTGCCATATGATGGCGAAGATAATCACGTGATGAGATGTGGCAAGTTCAAACGCGTAAACGCGTGCTTACTATTCTTGACTCTGAGCATGGCAAACGGTCGTCGCTCTCCTTCTCCAGAACCACCTGGCCCTCAACCAATAAGGAGGCTCCAAGAGTCCCTTATTAACCGAATTGCAGCAGGCGAAGTACGCGCTGTGTTAACCATGGCACTGACGTGAATAAATACTGATGAAATTCACCTCTAGATCATACATCGACCTGCTTCTGCGCTAAAAGAGTTGCTGGAAAATAGCCTCGATGCTGGGTCAACTTCAATCCAAGTCACAGTCAAGGATGGTGGCATGAAGCTCCTTCAGATTCAGGACAACGGTTGTGGCGTTCGTGTATGTCTTCCTCGCAATTCGCATCAAGGCATTCCATGAGCTTTTTTTGAAGAAAGAGGACCTACCCTTGCTCGCAGAGCGCTTTACCACCTCCAAATTGACTACCTTTTCGGACCTCTCCAAGTTGACTACTTATGGGTTCCGAGGGGAGGCCCTGGCATCTATATCTCATGTCGCGCACCTGACAGTGATCACAAAGACAAAGTCAAGCAACTGTGCTTGGAAGTATGTATATAACATATTGTGTACGGAACAAAAACACTTGACGAGAATCTTACAGGGCCGTTTATGTTGATGGTGGTCTTGTTCCGTCGAAAGCGGGATACACACCAGACCCGAAACCTTGTGCTGGAAACAACGGAACTACCATCATAGTATGCTCCCTCACAAGTCAAACATTTCTCTCTCATCACTCAATTCACTGCAGATTGAAGACATGTTTTATAATACACCCATTCGACTGTCTGCTCTCCGAAGTTCCTCTGAAGAATACGCCCGAATACTTGATGTTATGACCAAGTATGCTGTGCATAATTCCAAGGTATCATTCGGGTGTAAAAAGGCACGTTGCTTTGAATATCGTCAATGATGCCCTATAATGCATCGTGTAGTCTGGTTCCCTGAGTCCTGAACTCTCGACTCCATCTTGTTCAGACACATCTCAAGCCATTCGTCAGCTATACGGTCATTCCATAGCCAAAGAGCTTCTGCATGTCACAGCGTCTTCTGTTTCAGATGATATCACGGATACGGATGATTCGGAAGATTCGGAAGCATGGTCGGCAGATGCATATTTCACCAACGCAAACTACCAAGGAAAGAAGACCGCATTATTGTTATTCATAAATCGTCAGTTTTCACCTTTTCCATGTTACTAAAGATCTCACGCGTACTTTATGCAGATCGTCTAGTGGAGTCACAGCGTATAAAACGGTCTATCGAGAGCATATACAGCGGTATACTGCCAAAAGGTTCTTCTCCTTTCGTGTATCTGAGGCAAGACCGAATTTTACCAGTGGGATATGAAAATAATGATTTACGCAGCATCAACCTCGACCCAAGATCAGTGGATGTCAACGTGCATCCGACCAAACGCGAAGTCCACTTTTTGAACGAAGAGGCCATCATCGAGCGAATATCAGATGCCATTCAACAAAAGCTCGCTGGCCAAAGTCAGTCACGAGTATTTGAGTATCAGGTACATGGATATATGCATCTAATCCATGTCCGTGTTACAAACACATTTATTGATAGACACTGCTCACTGGAGGAATTGCCCAATCAGCCTCGCGGAAGGGCAAGGAAAAAGCGAGTGGTGTCGATGAAATGGAAGGAGATGGCGAGGAACCCATGACTGATCGTCGCACATCAGGAAGTCAAGGTCAGCGTTTCTGAAGATCTCCAGGCAAACATCATTTGGATCTTGTCCAGTAGCGAAGAAGGTGCTTTCTCAGCACAAAGTCCGGACCTCCTTACAAGACCGCACACTAGACTCGATGATTCCGGTCACTGAACCATTGAGAACCAACTCCAACGAGCCCGCGACAGCCATCCGGTTACGGGACATCAAAGAATCGACGTGTCATTTTGCATCTATAACAGAACTCAGGCGTCTTGCTACCAAACGCATACACCACGGTGGGCTATAGATATTTTTTACAACCTGAACGGTCTTACACGCATAAAACGTAGATTTGACCGAAATCATCAAGAAACACACCTTTGTCGGCGTGATCGACCCGTCGAGGTGTCTTGCGTTGATTCAACACAACAAGAACCTTTACATGGTCAATCATGCTGCACTAGCGTGCGTTACTGATTTCCTTCAAAAACCTTTGTTGATGTAGTCGTCCTAGGGAGGAAATGTTCTATCAGCTTGCGTTGTTGCAATTTGGGGACTACAGCCGACTCAAACTTGATCCTCCTCCATCTCTTCGGGTGCTCGTCAAGTTCGCAGTCGATGCAGAAGAAGACACAGCGCGCAGCGGCATGAGCAATGACGAGATCGTAGATGTATGATCAAATTTCAGTATTTTGGCAGATCCGCTCAACGTTCTTTCACAGCGAATAGTCAAGACCTTGATGGATCGCCGAGAGATGTTGCTCGAGTATTTTTCCTTGGACATTTCAGAGACCGGCGATGTTAAGACACTTCCACACCTCCTTCGCGAGTACACCCCTAATCTTGACAAGCTGCCCATGTTCCTCATGCGTCTTGGACCTCAGGTACGTTCCAACGCCATATCGTCATTCCACAGATACCAAGTCGTCTCAGGTCCTCTGGGAATCTGAGAAAGAGTGCTTTGGTTCTTTCATGCGCGAGCTTGCATACTTCTACTCCCCGGCTCCGCTGTCCGTCGTCTCAATGCCCGCCTCTGACGAAGATGAACAAGCAAAGCAGAAATCTGAAGCTTGGCGCGTACAAAATATCCTATTTTATGCGATGCGCAAGTACCTTGCAGCTCCCAAGTCCCTGTTGGACAACGACGTCGTGCAGGTGGCGAGCTTACCAGATCTTTACCGGGTCTTCGAACGCTGCTAGACTTCATATCATACTGCAATTTCTATCCGTGAATGCTGGTGCACGACTCTAGACCTGCCATAATGTATTATGTAGACTACAATGATTCTATAATGCATCGATAACAATGAAAGCGTGGTGAAGATAAATTAATACAAGCCCTTGCCATTGGGAGCGGTACGATAAAAAGTTGGAGAGTCGTACTTGAATGCGTCTACCTCAGACTCTGGATCAGACTCATCGGTGGAGTCGTCCGAAAGGTCGCGTGATCCACCGATCTGGAACACATCTCCAAATGGAGTCTGAGGCACGCCGTTGCAATCGTCTGTAGATCTAGCCAGGATGGAAGCGACTCTATCTTCCAGCTGCTGACTCGGTAGGAGTTGCGTCTGAGGCTTCGTCTTCTGGAAGAACTCACTTAGCTCGTGCAGATCTTGAACCAGGACTCCCAAGTCTTCATCAAGCTCATCAGCGAACAGGGGCTCTTGCACCTCTGGCTGGAAGTACACCGTAGATATGCGCGATGATGTCGTGAACATAAGCGCAACCGCAAGGACGTTGGCACGACATTGAGCTTGTCGATGTGATACGCGTGCAATGCACCAGCCAGAGTCTTCCGGGACACCAAAGATCTCTGTCTCACCCTCACTCCCGCCCGCACCGGCAAGTGTTGATACGTGCATGCTCATGCGGAGGACCTGTTTGGCTGTAAGTCCTCCAGTGATCTTCGTCGGCTCCTCTAATACATCAAGAGCTTGCGTCGCCAACTCTCCTTCCACCAACCGCAATAAGGGCATAAGATGCTCTGTGCCCAACGACTGCAAAGCACGTTGTTGGAATAGGACTTTGAGGACATGCATTGAGGACACTTGGAGCCATCTCTCCTTGTTGAGCACCAAACTCAACAACAGAGTAGCGATATCGGTCCAGTCATCGGGAGGGTAGTGGTCACGTAGACTGCTGATGGACTGACGAAGGAAATCATCTTTGGTCCTGAACCGACGTTTGACAAAAGAAACCATGATCCGATTGATACTCTCCAGACCATCTTCATCAGCCAAGTCCGCGATTGAAGAACAGAAGTCGTTTAGAGCCTCGTCATGCTGGTCAGTGTACATGGCGTGCATGCACCATGGTAGGGACAGAGTAAAGAGGTCTCGAAGCCATGTTTTGGAAGAGTCTAACAAATTGGCGCACTTCAGCCTAACCAGTCTCCCAAGAACTGTGAACGTGTCATCCAAAGTCGTGGCAGAACGCAGCCCGCTCCAAAGGGCTTGCTGCAATCCGATGGACCCGTTCCAATCTCGAGGACGTTGGGCAACAATGAGGTCAACGATATGGGGGTCATCCAAGTCAATCCGATCGAGGAATGCCGACAACAGTTTGATGGCTTGCATGTACTCAGTTTCTGCACTGGTTGACATCACTGCATGAGTTGCCCAAAAAAGACGAGGAAGCAGCGCATCATCGAGCTCGTGCAGTGTAACCATATGAGTGATGGTGCGGATGACTTCCGCCGAAAAAGCCTGTCTTTCTGGATCCACATCTGCTATGGAAACAGATAAACGACTCAGCAACTGATCCAGCGCGGCATGACTCAAAGGCATATTCAACACTCGGAGTACCTGTAAAGAACGAAGCGCGAGACTCCGCATGTTGCAAAGTTCCACGTAGGCTAGTGCCAATCTACCTACAGTCTGTTCCAAGGCTGGAGCAAGAGGCTGGAGCATAGGGAGCACCTGAGAGAAAAGCGTACTCATTCGAGTTTCCACGATATCGTTGTCATCATCATCCTTCCAGAATATAGAATCTCCTTGGTCCTCCAATGCACTGATCTGCGCCACTAATGCAGAGCAATTGGACTGTGCGAGACCTGGGATACAAACACGCAAGAGCTGGAAGAGCATTCCACGCGCCCTAATCCTCATAAGAGGGACGCGGTGGTCAAGGTTGGGAAAGATTGCCTGCAGAATGATTGGTATGGAAGTAACAAGCGTCCATTGTCCTTCCATTGCAGCAGACCCCAGTAAGATCAGCGCATATTGCGCCGGTCCCAGCAGAATCTTTGGCTGTTCTTCTGCAAACTGAGTATTCAAGTCAGACCACAGTTCAAAGTCTTCGGCGCCGGGAGGCTCCTTCAGCTGGTGATCAAGGGAGGGGACCATGCGTTCTGGCTCGCAGTAGTAGCAAAGAAGCTCGTAAACTTGCAGCGCAGCAGCAGAACGCGAAAGACATGCTATGATGGTGGAGGCGCAATCGATGAATGCGCAGGTAGCTACTTTGAGAGCTTGGTTGATGAGGAAAGTTACGGTAGCCGCTCCGTAGGTTTCGTTGGGGTGGTCTGCGAATCGCGTCCATATTGCAGTAACTTGCTCAAAATGACTTTCGCTGTATCGCTTTGTGAGGGTGAGGAGATGGTACAAGATGCGGCTGCTGGCTGGAGATGGATGTAAACGCGCTTCGCTGTCGGGGTCAAGCGTGAGTTGTATATTGGGGACCCAAGACTCGAGGCTTTGCAACAGTAGAAGGGCAAGCCTCTCATTTCCACCACGAGGCATGCGCATCAGCAAGGTAGTCATCTCCGTAGTCACATCATTAGCGTGATGAGGGTGTTCGCCGGAGAGGCGTTCGGTGACTAGTCGATGTACATGCAAATATACGCTGCTTAAAGGGTTGGAAGCCATAGCCTCGAATTCACCAAAAGACAGGACGCCAGAGCAATGCTCGTGCATGACCTCGAGGAGCATAAGAGACTTTCGTCTAATTCCAGAATCAGCGTGACAGAGGTTGGTCAAGCCCAAGCATATAATTTGCGCGAAAGTGTATGAGCCGATACCAACGTTGCACGCGACGTCGGACAGAACCTCGAAGAAACCAGAGCTGCTGGACGATGAATCATTCGAATCGATGAAGGATCGTCGAAGGACCTCGGCGAGCAACGTTTTATCCGCTTTTCTGGAGCAGATAAGGGAGCTAAGGGCTTTTCTACAAAAGAATGAGTAGATAGTACATATAGAAAGGGTAAATAAGCACCTTCCAGACATGACAACGTGAGGGTAAGAGGATTGAAAGACATGATGAAGGCGGTCCAAGATCTGGACAGCTTCCAGAGGTTTCGGAGACTCTTGAGGGCGATCCGTAGGTGATGAGGAGCCAATGGTTTCAGAGGGATAATATGCCCTTTGCTGCTACTACGTCAGTTCTGAAGGATGATACATGAAGTGTTTTGCTTACGCAAAGGGCAGCGAGGGCGCCCACAGCTGCATTGGAGAGCAGTTTAGTCTCGTGTTGAAACCGTTCAGCAGAGTCTGACTCGGCTTGTGGATCACTCGCAGCCGCAGCCGCAGCTCTTTGCATGAGGATGTATCGCTGTTTTGCTGATTCAGACTGAACACCATACTGGCACCATTCTTCACAAAGCCTGTAGAGAGTCGCATACGTGTGCGATGGAACGAATAGTTCTGAGTCAGCGAGGCTCCCCAGACTGTCGAAGAACCGTTCGATCAAACCGCAGAAATAGCGGCGCAGGCGCTGGAGCGCATAGCTGTCACGATTCTCTGCATTAACGAGGAAGGTTTGCATTGTCCGAATGAATTTGAGCACGTATGAAATTGTATCTTGCTTTGCAGAAGGTCTTTGGTACTGCAGCTGAGGAGCAGTGAGGAAGTAGATACGAGCAACGGCTGAGTGTAGACGAGCTTGACGTCGTGAACGTCCACTTGACACAGGAGAACCAGATTTCGACCGGACGTCATCATGAAATTGAAGGAAAGAAAAGTGATTCAAGTCCTCCAAAAGCTGCGAAAACCCATTGGAAGGAAAAGAGCTGATGCTGATGACAGCAGCATCACGAAATGGGGCATATTCCACGTCTAAGAATGGTGTTAGGTACCTGAAGAGGCAGCGTGTGTTTGACATCCGCTCGTGATCAAAGGTAGCGTCCGAAGGGGCTCGTGAATGTTCTCGAGCGGCTTGGACAGGAGCGCCACCACGGCTATCAGATACAGTGGCTGTAGCACACAGAATCTTGATCCACAGATACCATTGATCGATCAAGCTTATGTTGTCTTTGACTTGCTTGTACCCCTCCTTATCGGCAGAGCCTGGTGCCCTAGAGGCGCCGGATGGTAATCGTCCGCTGAGAGTCGATAGTCCGGCAAGGTGCAACATTGAAGGATGGTAGCGGGATGCTGCAGCCTCGATCATGGCGCGACAGTCCACCGCAACTTTCAGCGGTTGTTGGAACGAGGCTTGGATGAAGCTCGGCAAAACACAACGCCATATTTTCTTGTCCTTGTCATAGTTGCTATCGGCGATCCTCAGAAGAACATCCTTTCGCCCAGCCCGCCTCCACTGTTGCAGGCGATCTAGCTCCGAGCTGTCCAATAACTCGTCAAAGCCCTGAAAATGAGGATTCTCACGAGCATCGCAATCGACGAGCCCGTTCAGAAGGGTCGAGGAACCCGCATGGGCACCCTCAAGTGCATCTATATGGGCAATGAATGGTGAAAGTATGCGAATGAGCTTAACCCCTGCACAACGGACGGTAGAAGCTTCATGCGATAACAAAAACAATGCTCCTGCAGTGATCCCGTCCCCTTGAAGGGCAGCGGCCTCCCTTTCACCAGCTGTGATGTCCGCTTTAGGTTTCTGCAGAATACTTTTGACCCAACCTTCCACCAGGCTAATCCAAAAATTCAGAAGTCGAGTGCTCTCAAGGACAAGCCGTGCACCAGTTCCCTCCCGCCCAACATAGGCAGGATCAAATAGGAAGGTCGTAAAGTGGCGCAAAACTGCAGGCGCATACCGCCCGTCAGCCATAAAGCGCCTCAGCGCCGCTCCTGCCGCTTCTCCGATCCGAGGCTCAACATGGATAATACTGCGGATGAGTATATTGATGGCGTCCGTGAGCGGTAAAGAGGCGTGCAAGCAGCGCGGCCACGATTGCAAACATGTCTGTAGCATAGAAATCTGCGACACGAGATGATTGGGGTAGGCAAAAGACCCTTCAGGACGACGACAAATGATAATGTTGTGGGGCTCTTCATGGATAGAGTTAAACCGCGACAGCGACCACTGTTCATCAAAGATAGACATTTGACCCACAGACTGACTTGCTGATCGTGCGATTGCAGTAATTACAGCTCCATATCTGTCAAGCAGCTCTTGAACTCCATGCCTGGATACTACTGCAGCTGGAAGAGCGTCAGAAGACGAAGGATAATCGTCCCAAGATGGTACAGCAGTGAAATCGACACTGGACGGCCATGTAGGAACTGACTCCTCACGTTCGAAGGCATTCAAGGTTAAGAGGATAGCCTGTGCCGATACAGCAACGCGTTCGGGGGCCAATATACCCATGAGATTACTTGTAGATGAGGAATTCACGACGGCTTCCTGAAGTAACTCCATGCAGAGTCCCAACCCATAGTCGAAATAACGCAACAAGATAAAATGCACGATACAGATGAAGGGCTCAAGATGCTCCTCGTGATGGAAAATTGATGACCGTCCAGCAGGGAATATATGTTTGAGGAGGGAGTCCAGCTTGGTGGTGCTCGTTGCTAATGGCTCCTGGCATCGATACAGGTATGTCCAGATCAATCGAACGATTCCATTCAAGACAGGAATCCGATGAAGCTTCTCCTGAATCAGAAGTCAGCCAGAGATGCGTCTAGCTCGTCAAATTCGAACCTTCATCTTCGACAGCCCATACTCAAAGCAAGCTGTCCAGTTGCGGAGGAAGTATTGATGAGGCGCAACACAAAGGCTGGTGACAGCCAATGGGTAGGCGATATGCCAATACCGCGGCTTACCCATCATCTCTTTAGCTCGAGGATAGATCCTTTCGATCGCCTTTTCCCATTGTGGATGATTGACTTCGGCCTGCGCCGTCTTGAGATCATGTTAGCCTATATCAGTACCAGTCAGGGAATATAGAATACCTTTCCAATGGGGTGCAAGAGTCGAGTCAACGTATCTGCGAAAGCGATCTTAAACCGAAGACCATGAGCATTTGCAAAGGACTTGGCCAATAACTCCAGAAACTCGGCCCCTTCCTCAAATGCCTCCGGAGGCCATACCTAATTGACACGTAAACACAAAAAGACAGGGAACAGTATGGTTCTCACTCTCAGCTGAACATGACGGAGCCCTTTCACTAGATGCTCATACTTCGTATCGAGGTCTTTCGCCACCTGACCATTGGCCACAGGCTCGAGCTCGCCAAGAAACCGATCTGTGACACTAACAAAGCTGACGAAACATTAGTTTAATGGTTAATGGAGTAAAAACACCATACTCACCGAACGTTTGCCAAGTGTCCGAGCAGCGTGGCATACAGTTCGGCATTAAGTCGATGATTAGTTGACTGTGCAAGGAGCTTCAAATCCGGTCTCTTGAACTGTTCGAACGTTGTTTCCTCCAAGGTAAATCCCAGCGTATCACCCAGTGCGTCTTTGGATAGGACGGATAAAACAGCAATCAAAGCGCGACACATAATATATATGGATGCCAGCGACTTTCGTTCATTCAGCAAAGTAGACGGTTCTTGAACTCTCGCACCACGTATCCATAAAGGAGATTGGCTAGCATGATGTTTAAGTATGTCGGTGCTGACGTTTTCATTATGACTGCGCCTCCAGCGCCTAATGGAGTCTATGACGGGTCTTGGATGTTTCTGAGCTATCTTTCCCAAAGAGCTCATCAGGTCATCGAACTTGGGATCTAGCGAGGGACCCATGAAGTTCGACAATAAAGGCTCGTGATCCTAAGGTCAGGTAAATGACATATGTCCGACCAATTCGAAAGAAAGTAAATACCAGTGTTTCGCGAAGGAACACGTTCATCTTTGCTTCCGCAAGAGTAGCAAACCGAATAAAAACTGCATGCAGAGCATAATCAGATGGCATCTTAGGACCCGATGGCACATTGTCGTCTTCCTCCATCATTAAGGGTCCATCACTGCTGAACATCGGAGTACCAAATGTATCAGGCACACGGGGAACAGGAGGAGGAGAGGATGAGTAAGAGAACCCGTGACCATGATCGCTCCCTGTGTCCGAGTTGTGAAATATAGACCCGGACTGAGAATGATAAGATCTTGCAGCGGAATGCCCTCTTGCCCTCGAAGGAGCGCGGGGACGTGATTCGCTGGATCCAGGTGTCGGAGGGCGAGGATGCGGTGGACTTGAAGCGTTGAATACCTTATTAGATGTTAAGGTGGAATGAGGCAAGGACGAAGTCGAGCGGTTAAAAGGGTTCTTGAGAACGGGATATGCTTGGTGGTCTAGTGGAGGTAATGGCGGTACATCAGTGTTCTTCTTGAATGCATTTCTGATGGATGCAAAAGATGGCTTCTTGGAGAATGGAGAGCTTGCAGATATGGAAGGTTGAGTCGTATGTGAGCTCTTGCCAGTCTGACGAACAGGTTGCGAACTAAAAGAATCCTCTGATGCCACAGAATCGCCACGACTATGAAAGTAGCTTCTGTCACTACGTTCCGGAAGTGCAATGGGAGTCATGATAGTTGGTGAATCTGGGCCTGATCCTGCATTTCCGAATGCACCAAAGCCATATCCTCCAGACCTGCCGAAGGGTATGGGAGTAGATTGATAGTCGCCATCGTCAAAGTCTACACAATAAATATTAAAAGCTTCTAACGGAGTAGATGCATAGTTACTAACCTGGTATTGTAATCTGTAATGCACCCTCTGAGCTCATGATTCGCTGCAAAAGTAGTGTTCCAAGAACCGCGACAAGTTCTGAACCTTCAGGAAAGTCGTAAGGTAAAAATAACCAGGGTTACTTTACGATTTTAGGTGAGGCTCTACGCACTCAAAGGCCTGGTGCTGTCCGAAGCCCTGCCCGCTGCGTTTGACGAACGTCAATGAGTCCGTTGAACCTGAACAAGGGCGACCAATTTCGTGACCGTGAGAATTTTACCTTCACATGTAGGCTAATCTTATTAATAAGGTTGATGTCCGACTCTACTCTTACTTGGAGTAATTAGGTCTTCGACTGCTGTCATGAGTGCTCGCGTGATTACTCGTGTGCAACCGACGAGTGGAGAAGCTAGTAACAGTACGTATACCGAGTTCTCCAAACATCGCCGTTGAACGAAAGCAGCTGGCCCGAGAAACACCAAGCACTTCACAAATCTCTTCGACTTCCTAACTGTGATCCCAGAGTGTACTAGTAAGTACACACTCTTTCAGGTTTTTACTACTTATTCGTCGGTCGACCATGTCGTACAAACGGTGGAATGAGGTTCTTCTTTTGATATCTACTGGCGTCAAACACTGGCATCGTCCGAACTTCGAAGGGGATTTCGTCACACGTGCCACTGAATCTCATCAGAATCGCACACAACTGTAAACAGTATCGGTAAGTTCGAGCGGCCTCTAATACAGCAAGTCGTGGCGCCAAGTTAGTCGCACAATTCTATCCATGACCCAGCTCTATGACGAAATACCTGAATCTCTCATCCAATGGATCAAGAAACAGCACATGTTTTGGGTGGCTTCAGCTCCCCTGAGTCCTGACGGACACGTAAATCTCTCCCCTAAGGGCATAGGGGATTGTTTCCATGTCGTGAACTCTCGCAGAGTTTGGTATCAGGATTTGACCGGGAGCGGTGAGCATCATGCATATAGATCAAATTTTGTGCTGGTTAACTCAGAACTGCGAGTAAGGAGTGGAAACGATCTCTCATATCAGGGAGAATGGTCGCGTAACGATCCTATTCAATGCCTTCGAGGGACCTCCCAGGATTTTGAGACTGTACGGACAAGGTGCCTACAAGCCAAGGGTTCTTCGCTTTGCCTCAATTACATTCTAACATCTGAGTGTAGGAACTGTATACGAATATGGAACGGAAGAATACGAATCTCTTATTTCTCCTGAGACTAGGAAACCGGGCTCCCGTGCAGCTGTCGTCATCGATGTACAACAGTGTCAAACGGTAGGCTATCTCTTATCTAGTTAGGACTCTTTCGATCTAAAAACTCCGCCAAGTCATGTGGTTACGCTGTTCCAATGTACGACTTTGTTACACATCGCACTCAACTCCTCCAATGGGCCGATACTCAAGAATCACGCACCCGCGCTTTAGACACCACATCCTCCCCAGAGACTCATCAGAAGGGTATCAGAGCATATTGGGTTCAAAATAACTTGAGAAGCCTGGATGGCCTGCCTGGTCTGCTCACGGCACCTGATTCCAATCTAATGCTTGTCAGTAATTTTGACAAGGAAGATCAAAGGTCGAAGTTGCGGTATTCATCGTCATCTTTGAGAGAGGGACGCTCCCAGAGTAGCGGTGCAAATTTAGCCATTGGTTTTGCCCTTGGTGCATTGGTCGCTACCACCGTTCCCTATATCCTATCTGCCACCAGAAAGTTTGATGTGTTCACCACTTGAGCTTGATACGTGTTCACATGCATAGTCACCCCTTTACCTTCCGTATATGTACTCGTAGAGATACCGATTTCTTCAGACATGTTTCATCAACGAAAAGCAGCTGGCCTGATGCCAGAGAAACACTGGGCAGCTTCATAGATATCTTCGATTTCCCAACTGTGGCCCGGGCTGAGTGTAAGTTCACATTCTTTGAAGTCTTTGCTTATTCATCGGTTGTGAGGTCAAACTTTACTATTTTTGATATCTGTGGCTGACGTCGAAGTGTTTCGTCACAGAATTTCATACTCATCTGGGATCAGAATGTTGGCGGTAAGAAAGCGGCTACTACTTACTCTCTACTACCGCAAGTTGTAGCACCAAGGTATTTGCACGATTCTATCCATGACCCACTTCTATGATGAGATACCTGAATCTCTCATCCAATGGATCAAGAAACAGCACATGTTTTGGGTGGCTTCAGCTCCCCTGAGTCCTGACGGACACGTAAATCTCTCCCCCAAGGGCACGGCAGATAGTTTTCATGTCGTGAACTCTCGCAGAGTTTGGTATCAGGATTTGACCGGGAGTGGTGAGCATCATGCATATAGATCAAATTTTGTGCTAGTTGACTCAGAACTGCGAGTAAGGAGTGGAAACGATCTCCCATATCAGGGAGAATGGTCGCATAACGATCCTGTTCAATGCCTTCGAGGGACCTCCCAGGATTTTGAGACTGTTCGGAAAAGGTGCTTAGTACAAGCCGAGGGTCCTTCGCTTTGCTTCAATTACATTCTAACATCTGAGTGTAGGAACTGTATACGAATATGGAACAGAAGAGTATGAATCTCTTATTTCTCCTGAGACTCGGAAACCGGGCTCTCGTGCAGCTGTCGTCATCGATGTGCATCAGTGTCAAACGGTAGGCTATCTTTTATCTAGTCAGGACTCTTTCGATCTAACAATTTCGCCCAAGACATGTGGATTCGCTGTCCCGCTGTACGACTTCGTTACACATCGCACTCAACTTCTCCGAATGGCCGATATCAAAGAGTCATGCAGCCGCGTTTCAGCCACCATATCCTCCCCAGAGATCCATCCGAATGGTATACAAGCATATTGGGTACAAAATAACTTGAAAAGCCTGGATGGCCTACCCGGTCTGCTCACGGCACCTGATTCCAAAGTAACACCTGTCAGTAATTTTGACAAGGAAGGTCAAAGGCCGAAGTTGCGATATTCATCTTCATCTTCGAGAGAGGGACGCTCCCAGAGCAGCAATGCAAATTTAGCCATTGGTTTTGCCCTTGGTGCATTGGTCGCTACTACCATTCCATATATCCTATCTGCTACCAGAAAGTTTGACATATTCACCACTCGAGCTTAATACATGCCATGATAGGTTATGCATAGTGCTCTTCCGAATATTCTGTGTATGTACTCGTCATTCTATTTTATTTGCGGTGTTGACACAACTGGCTTTGCGTACCTTTGACCGTACCTTGTCCAGTCTAGTTATGCACGTTTTTGTGTAGTACGAGATGTTAGACACCAGTTGAAAAGTGATTTGTCGCATTAACCTTCGTCAGTCTCGTGCGTAAACATTTGTTTTGGTGGAACAATTACTAGTGAGCGACTGGTTAGCTCTCCGTACTCTCCCCTAGTCTGACCTTATATATATAAGAAACAGTAATTCCTTTTAACTGATGTAATACCTAACGGAACGCACGGTCGAGATTGACTCACCCCATGACCAGATAGTGTCATGCTCAAGAGGTTATAATTGGATCTTCCCAAACACGGGACCTAACCAGCATACTACTTATACTCAAGTCGACTGGCACCAGACTGGCAAAATAATCCCCATGGCTAAGTACTATGATGAAATACCCGAATCTCTCATCGAATGGGTCAGGAAACAGCACATGTTTTGGGTTGCTTCAGCTCCTCTTGGTCCTGGCGGACATGTCAATGTCTCCCCCAAGGGTACAGCGGATTGCTTCCATGTGGTGAACTCTCACCGAGTTTGGTACCAGGATTTGTCTGGAAGTGGTGAGTGTCTCGTGTCTCATCGTTGAATGATTTCTATCTTATCTAACTGCTGGGCTACAGGTGTGGAAACTATATCTCACATCAGGGAGAACGGTCGCGTAACCATTTTGTTTCACTCCTTCGACGGACCTCCTAGGATCTTGAGGTTGTATGGCATAGGTACATGTTAACATTACTTCCCCTGTGTCGCCCACGTTTCAACATCCAGTGCAGGGACAGTGTACGAATATGGCACACAAGAGTACGAGTCTCTTATTACTCCTGAGACTCGTAAACCGGGGTCTCGTGCAGCTATCGTCGTCGACGTCTATCAGTGTCTAACGGTAGTATCTCCGGTCTAGCTTGTTTCTCAATTTGGGTCTAACCATTCCGCTAGTCATGTGGATACGCTGTTCCGATCTATGACTTTGTTACGCACCGCACTCAACTCCTCCGATCGTACGACATGAAAGAGTCACACGACCGCGCTACTGCCTCCACAGAGATCAATCCGAGGGGCCTTAGAGCACACTGGATGCTGAAGAACTCTTCAAGCGTGGATGGTCTTCCTGGTCTGGTTACAGCACCTCACTCCAAAGTCACGTATTTCAGCGTTTTTGACAAAGGTCCAAGACCAAAGTTGCACCGTTCGTCTTCTATGAATGCGGACGTCCTAGATACAGGCGCGATTTTAGCGATTGGTATTGCAATCGGCGCATTTGCAGCTACTGCCCTTCATCGCATCCTATCCGTCACTGGTAACCGAGCCTAACGTGTGGCAATAGTGCGAACACCATTTCTACGCGTCAAAACAACTTGTAGTTGGACTGTTGGATCATCTTGTGCACTTTAGCTATGGACTGCGATGATGCTTGTAAAATTATATTTCTATTCCTGGAAGCCACGATGCCCCAATACAGTCTCAAGAGTCACATTGCCCTTGTCGAATTTCTCCACATCTTCGTCCCTAGAATCGCAAGAGGCTGATGGCGGTATCACATCATCAGGTAAGACAGCCCTCTCTACATATGTGCCCCGGGCCGGGAACAGCGTCGAGAGGACGGAATAGACGATGAATGCTGACCAGAACTATCAAGAAAGGGGAAGTAACAGTGAGTCGCGCGCGTGAATGTAGTAATTGCACGCACTCCAAATATCCACCCAATGGCAAATAAATTATGGATACCTCCAACATTAATGGACGGGTCGATAGAGTGAACAAGCCCGGGCATGGCTGGTGCGATGCAAATCACGAGTGTTGCCAAAGCACGCCAATTCTGTCAACGAGCTTCAGCCACGTGCACAATCCGAGCTAGCCAGTGCAATGAACTCGCCACTCCATACGTATAACGGTATCGACCATCAACTTGGTACATCGCTGGGACATCAATTTGGCCCCGATGGATTAGCCAGTACTAACAAGACTTCAGCGTGCGTCGATGACGATTGGTTAACTTACATCAGCAATCATAATTCCAACGAATGGTCCAATGAAAATGGTGTAGCCACTCAGGAACGACAGAAACCCGGATGCTCTACAAATGAATGAACAAAATAAGAGAACGATATGTTGAGTCAACTAACTTTGCCAGAACTTCCCAAGGACAGAATGCCCATCCACCAACAAGTGCACATATCACTTGACCGCGTCGTATATTGATGTATTTCGGAAGGCAGACTGTGAGGTCGTTAGCAGCCACAAGGGCATTGGCGCTGATATTGGTCCCGATAGTCGTCAGCAGAAATGCGAACGAGGCAAAGAACGCTGCTGCTCGGTTGTCCCATTGGTTAATCAACTGCAGGGGATCCCACAGTGCAGAACCATAGAGGACAATTCCTGCACTCGTCACAGCCAGTCCAGCGAACGAACAAAGCGTGAATGCGACTGGAATAATGATAGCCTGTGAATATTGTCTGTCGTTTGATTTGAGTCAGGAATGAATCGTGCATCCCAACCGAAACGAACTAACGCTCTCTCATGCGTGGCATACCGCTATTTGAGGATCAATACAATGTATCGAAGAATGCGATGTAGTCACAAACCGTAAAATCCGCTATATTGACCGCATAACCGCAATAGAGACTGAGCGCACTATTGAGTGCCGTCAGCCAAGCCCAGGAGAGGTCAGAGCCTTGTACTGTAGCATGCTGAGCAAATAGTCCGACTGAAGGAGGAACCTTTATAAATGCCCAAATGACCATAGCAAGCCAGGCAAATGGGACGATCACGCCCTTAGCCATGAAGAGATAACGGATTTTCTGGGGAGACAGCAACATAAATGGAAATTGGAGGAGCCAGTAAAGAACGTAACACATCATGCCTGATGATTTTGATTTTGATCAGCAAAGTACGTGAGCTCGAGCAATGATTAATGAGCATTTACCGACGCTGGTGGTGTTTGACGAGGCAGGTATGTGATTCGGGACATGAGCGACAGACGGCCATATGGCCTTTAGCATCTGCAAGATTGTACTGTTGAAATGTGTTGTTCTCCCCGGGCAATTAATGTACCTGATAGATACATTCAGAACCGTTATATGTCTACTCATATCTTGTTAGCAGAGGACCACATGTAGATTTACAACGCCCTACCTGAATTCCAAACCAAGACATGGCAATTATTCCCCGCGTAATAACAGGGAAGTAACTGAACCAAAATCCGAAAGACGACCTGCTAAGGACTGAGAATGGAACCCTCAGCCGGGTACCGATAGTCCCGGTGAGAAGTATCGGAACAGCTGTTATACAATAAGCAACAACAATGGCAGGCAAGGCCTGTCTCCTGTCTCCAGAGTATCAATCCTGTTCGATATATGATAGGCGAAAACTCACCAGGAAAGACCAATAGCTAACATCGAGCTCGCAACCTGTCTAACGTCAGTCGCAGCCAGGTTAGCGCATCTTTTTTTGAACTCGCCTCCCAGACAGCGATATTACTGGCATCGGAAAACCAGTATGATACCTAGAAAACATTGATATTAATTGTAACTGTCTGATGACTGGGCCTATGTCACGAACATAACTCCATGAACTTTGTACCAACATTATTTGACCAGACTGATCAGACATGTTGGAAAATCACAGCAAGGGATGATGCTCACCTCCATGTTCGAAGGTGAAGAGGCGTGGGGTCCATATCGTGATTGCTCCATCTATTGTCTGTCGCAAACGCCGTATTTTCGAGCTCAAGCTCCCATGACGAGAGCTTCAACCACTGTTTGGGAGAAATGGTCATAAGAGCTAATGGCGATGATATCTGAGACAGCCTATCTCTGCACATGTATATACTGTGAACTCTGGCATATATATGTGCAGAGATATTTGTGTCTCGATAAGAAAGCTTTAGACCACAAGGGCGAGAGGTATTTTCGTTTGTCAGTTCTGACGAAAGCTATGATAGTCCTTGTCAAAGTGAGTCGCTGGTGGGGAACAGACAATGCATGTACGCTCACACTGGCATTGGAATGTGCTCGGAGTTTTCTGATTTTCATGACCAAATTTGTTAGGCAGCCTGCAAGGTGCCGCGGCACCAGAAGCGGGGTTTGTCAGTGTTTGAACTGGAAGTAACGTGATAGGGTGCCAGTAAGATAACGAGGTCACGTTGGCTACAGGTTGCTCATGACACCGCCAAGAATAATATGCAGATATCTGATAATGGTAGCTCTACCAGCATGTGTCTACGATACAAAGCAGTGCTGGGATAGTCGTCAAGTAAGCAATACAGGGCAAAAGAGACCGAGAGATTGCAAGGAGAGAGACAGCAATGCAGGAATTCCATAGCGAGTGTGGTAACTAGACATGAGAGCGGGGGCAAGATCGAGGATACACCGGAAACCCGAGAAATATGAAATCGACTAGCGATCATCAAGAAACAGGGGAAGACGTTGAGGGAACAAGAAGATAATCATGAAGTCACATCATGCTTAGGCGTAAAGTCCCAGAACAAGTAGGTCGTGATGCAATTAATGAAGAAGCAGGCATCCGGGTATTACCGTAGCACATTCAGCCTCTGAGCCAGTTTTTGAATCAAATCTTCATCAACGCCAAACTCCCGGGCAATGTCGTTGTAAGAGCTGAGAACAGGCACAGTGCTGTGAGGACTGGGAGCGGACAGAGTGACGTATGGACTAGAGGCGGGAATGTCGTTGTCACGAATGAAAACGCCGCTGTCAGCGCGGAAGTGTCCGCCAGGCAGTTGGAAAGCAGGAACAAACGGCGGAATAGAAGGTCTCGCTAGGCTGGAAAGCATCTGGGCTTGTTGTGGCGCAAAGGCTGCGGATGATAGCGCTTAGCAGTAGTTCCAAAAATATCAGTGAAACAATACCTTGACACGTTACCGCAGCTTGAAGAAGTTCGTCTAACAAACGGGATCCATCCGTTATCGCATTCCCCACCCCTGTCATAAGAAGACCTAACGCCGCTACGGAATGTTAGGTCACAGCTCATCAAATTATACGAGGAACTTACAGTAAGTCAGATCTGTACGAAAAGGACGTTAGAATACTGCTTCAAGCATCGCTGGGATGGGAGACACGTACTAAACAAGTTGTCTCGGAGGTTGTTGGTGCAAAACACTCTGCCGTCAACGTCTACCGGGAACTTGGATAAGATGCTAATAAGGAAATGGAAGGGTAGAGAGGCGACTTTCAGGAAATGTGACTAACAAAAATTCTCAGTGAACAACATAACAATCGAAACCATAACAACGTACATCAGGCGACTGCACAAGATGCAACAAGGCCTTGAGTTCCGCGTCGGTCATGATTCCCACCTCGAGCGCCCCCCTAACCTGATCATTCCTCAAACCAGTGAGTGATGGTATAGAGCCCTCGAAACCGCCTTTCCATGTCGGGAACAGCTGCCAAGTGTTGTCAGATCGACACGAGTTTTAGGTCACAAACATCGTACAGAACGCATCAGTTCTTCCTGCGAGCTGCGAGTGACGGTGACTCCTCGCGCACGTTTGCCTTTGCCGAGGACAGAGTTTTGCACGCCACGTAAAGCAGCCCTCGCATGCTCTTCCGTGCCAAGTTCGACAAATGCATGACTGAGAGTTTTACCCCGTGGATCCAATAAAACATGCACTCGGACGACAGGCTGCTTGAGCCAGGCAATGATAACTGGCGGGGTTATATCCTGCGACAAATCAGATGCGCCACAAAGCCAGAAATATGGACCCACCCAAGGCACATTGTCGATGCGAAGAACTACATTGTCGACTCTTTGTTGCTTAGGGGCTGCGGTAAAGTTAGGAGGGGGCAAATCCTGTTGAAAATGGACAGCAGGTTGGTCCATGTGTGGCGCAAAAGGTATGGGCTCAAAGCTGGGTAAAAGAGGTCTGTTGGTTCTGCTAGAACGTCGTTGCAAAGGAGAAGCATTGGCATCTAGTGGAGTGAAAGCGGATGGGAAATTAAAATGCTGAGGTGAAGACGAGACCATTGAGCTATCATCAAATGGCCGACTTTGAAGTTGGAAATCTATGACGGACTCCTTGCAAACAGCACACTGCATGGCTTTTTCGCCGACAATGTTGAGGGCGCTTGTAAGGCATCCTGAACATAGAGGGTGTTCGCACGGTTTGAGGATTGCAAACCGACCCCCGTCACGACCGCAGACAGAGCAGGCTGTTGACGAGGTGACGGTGGCATTGGACTGCATATTTGCCTGGAAAAGCGACTCGCCAAAATGCTGTTGAACACACTCTGCAATCGTTGGAAGAACGGAACCGAAAAATGGGTCGTGCAAAGAGAAGGATTCAGCTGAAGGGAATGACTGAGGATATGGTTCAAAAGCGTTTTCGTCGATGTCGAAGAGCTCGGTGGACATCTACGTATAAAAGGCAGTGTGCCGCATCAGCTGATCAATATATACGGATCAACTAGAAGCGAGTCACTAACCTGGCCAAATGAAGGGCGCCGTCGTGTGTGCGCGGGATCAGTGAAGCTTCCTTTGAATTTTAACTGGCTAACGTTTGTTGGTTTCGGTGGCGGTGTATTCAGCACTCCAAGAGCGCGGCGTGCGGGAGTTCTAAGAGCATAGGGTGAAAGCGGGGCGCAAGGCGGTGCTGGACTGGAGATCGTCTGGGAACGCCGATGAAGTGCAAGAAATGGCGGAGGGAGGAGTGCTGTATAGGGAACTATCAGTTGTGTTGATACGGAGCATTTTATGGCAGTGACAAACCTTCCTCGGTTACGAAACCTGTACAATTCATATCAGAATGGGTCAAATCGCTGGCTAAATGCGCATATATGCATAGCGAGATCCAGTTTAGTCCACGGAGCAGCGGAATAGGACAGGAATAATAACCAAAGTGTTATGACGATATTGTAGTTGCATGAGTCACATACAATAATGAACGGATGTATGCGCACCTTCATCATCACCATAATTAGAGTCGTTTGCACTCGAGACCTTAATGCCGTTCTCATTGGCACGTGAGCGCCAATTCTCAGCGATGTCCGCTAGACTCTTGTCCACAAAAATTGCATCATTTTCAGCAGAAGGAGATGCGGCGTAACGTTTATTGAAGCTGGAAGCTGATCCTGGGGTGTTTATAGTTGAACTTGATGCAGTCGAGAATGAACGGAGGCTCAATGGTGTATATGGTGTAGAAAAGTTGCTTGCAGGGGTAACTGGCGATCGATACGAAGTCTTTTGAGGGCGGACTAAACGTTGGGGAGTTACTGGTGCCGCAAATAGCCGCTCTGATCGGTTCAGACGAGTACAGGCAGGTGAGGTGGGAGCAGATGCGGGTACAGTTGGAACTGAAAGTGAATGCTTGTGCATAGTGGCTAGTGGCTATTGGTATCCATGTAACCAATGCACGGTCAGAACGAGGAAACGAGAGAAGTCGTTGAGGACAAACACCTTTGTTTGTCCAGGCTCGCAACAAAGGAGGCTATACACGAATGGAAGAAACGCCGGAAGTCTTGGTGGCCCAGAACAGGATGTCACGGTTGCCCCTTGCAACGGAGTCCAATATTTTCCTTAATGATAATAACCTTTTCTTGATGTGGATCAAACGTAGACTGGTGGATGATCGTGGTTGGGGAAAGAGAAGGAAGCGATGGTGTCCCGACTCGCAAATGACGACCAAAGTGAAAATAACAAGCTGAACTTCGAAAGAAACTAATGCAAGCCAAAGCGTGTGGGAACATGCCTTATGACGGGCGCGTCGCGTAACAAGTCACGTGCATTCTGACCTCTTCACCAGACGCCGTCATGCCCTTTCTAGATGGCTTGTACGCAGATCAGCTCGCCACATATTTCTGCGTGAGCCCTTTTAGCGCTGATTCATCCCAGATTTCAGCTTTGGCATATAAAAAAATGTCAAATTTTTGTTCACTTTACCGTTAACTTGTTGCGGATGGAAAAACTGTTGTTTTAATGGCCACCTTCGAGTTCACATGTTTCGTCGCACTAAATTCTCCACCGACCGGAAAACAAATCCATTGACACCTGTTCAAATCAAATCATAAGTACGTGGTCACGTTCTCGAAAGTATCTCTTCTCAGAAATCCAATGGACAGCAGCTGACTGGTTCTACTTACTCACGGTGTTGGAAATTATAATCTGCCAGCTCGTAGGTCACCGGTGATCTTCTTCAAGGAACGCTAAAACTTGCCCCCAGCTGATGACCGGTGCGTTTGCAGCTGGCGTGCCCAGCCCTTCACCGTGTCGCCGCTTCAAATTCTTCACTTCCAAGTACTAGAAAGTTAGTCCGATGACAATGGGATCACTTGCAATATGCGTAGGCCGCTGCTGTATATATATATTCGGAAAGTCCAGTCCTTCGTCTCTTTTCAGCGAGCGCAGTCGCAAGACCATATTTTCCTACGTTCGTGTTAAAAGAATCTCCTGTGCGTCCAAATGGAACTTTACTATCCGAGAGAAACGCTTCTTGACTACTGCTCCTCAGAGCCAAGGATCCATCGCCGTATGAGCTGGAACGGCTGTCTCTGGCCGGATCGGTCCTGCGTCAATACGGTATGAAATGACTCGGTCCGTCGAGCACGCAAGGTCTTTCCATGACACGGGACCCACTACACACTACATATGCCCCTCGAATACAAGTAGCCATCGCCATTTGAACAGGAACGGCCGTCTCAGGCCGAACTGGTACTGCGCAAATGTGGTGAAATGACTCGATCCGTTGAGCACGCAAAAGTCCCTCCATGAGACGAATCCCACTGCACGCTACATATGTTCCTTAGAGCCAAGCATCCATCCTGTATCAACTAGGACGGTTGTCTCAGGCCAAACTGGTACTGCGCAAATGTGCTAACTCAGTCCGTCAAGCACGCAAGGTCCCTCCATGACACGGGACCCACTACGCACTACATATGTCCCTCAGAGCTAAGCACCCACCGCCGTATGAACAGGAACGGCTGTCTCAGGCCGAACTGGTACTGCGCAAATGTGGCGACTCAGTCCGCCAAGCACGCAAAAGTCTCCACCATGGCACGGATTCCCACTACACACCCTCTTAGTCAGTGCTGATCCCGTTAGTGATCAGGGCCCACGATGCGCACCGCAATCAAATCTCCGAATTACCTTACTGTTAACGGGTCTGTCTCTCGCAGCCAAGCTCGAATGAATCGAAACGGATGAGTAATGAATCACTCGTACCTGACAATCGTGAGTACGGGTTCGATCTGTTTACCCCTGACTTGTCTGAGTGCTAGAAATGTGCAGCCTTCGTCATAAATTTCGGAGCTGTGTGCTGTCGGCCGCCTGCGCAGCCGTATATATGCATATTACGGAATCTTGTCAACGGGCCACCTATGAGATGATATAATGCGTCGGCGGTCGGACTCGGCTGGCGCTTATGAGCTCAGCCTCGACTTATACTCGATGAAGACTAGCTAGGTCAAGTTCCAAATACTTCTTCCTGTCGACCCGTCGCAGTCTCCGAACCCGTCTTGCAGAGCCCGATCCGCTACGTGCGGAAGCAGTGGAATTGAGCAATAACAAATATGGTGCATATTCCAATAGTAGTGATGTCATTTTGGGATTGAAAATCTAGGTAAAGGTCAAGCTAAAGATAGAATCTAGGCTGGTCTTCGGACATGATGCTTCGTCCAGATACGCAAAAGTGGGCAATTTAGTGAATATTTTTGCTCGCTTGGGCGGAGCGGGTATCTTTGGTATAAAGAGGCAGTATATCTAGCAAGTGAACAATAAGTGTAAAATGAGATGCTTCATTTGGCACGGAGGGTTTTACAAGAGCCCGAGGAGAAAGAGAAAAAAGACCCAACAAAATGATCCGCCGAAAGAAAGAAAAACTAACTGCCCCGCTTACAAGCTCCAGATCCTTTGAGTGCCTTCACCAAAATTCAACTCCACGCTCTTGAGAGAATCCCACTGGTTTGAAGCGAGAAACTGCTCGACAGCATCCTGCCATTCCTCGAATTCGTCAGACGCACATTCCCGCGTGAACGCATCCTGAGCAGCACACATTGTTGCGTTGGCGATGGTGATACGCTTGATTTCACAAGCGGACAAGACATTGAGCATCGGGAGAAGGTCATCTAAAGCGACTCGTTCGGCATCCACATGAAAGTTTGTGAAAGTAGGTAGAGGGGGGATGATGGATTCATTCTCCGCGGCCATCCAGTCCTTTCCGAGGCAAGTAGACGGCTGGAATTCGCCAAGAGGAATGCCTGTTTTAAATGACCGCAAAGCAGGACCGCAAGCCCGAAGCCATGCCAAGCAGGCCTTATTTTCCACTTCACCGACCCTGTACATGCTTCCGTATAGCGATAGACGGTCCAGCTGGGCCAGTTTCCCTTGCAGACACATGTTTTCATCGCAATCAATCCATACGTCCCTGAGTTCGAGTGACTTGAGAGTGGGAAGTTTCAGGAGGCTGGGGAGGCAGAGCTCCTCGCCGAGGATAGGGTGGGAAGGGACATCGTGGTCATTGAGCACCAACGGAACGCCCAATGGAAAGCAATTGTTTACATGTAATGCTGAACGAGTGATGCGGGACAGGGTAAGATGAGTGAGGGACGATAAGGAAGCGGCGAGGGAGACTGCAACACGCTCAGATCTGCGTGCAGAACGCATGAGACAAACGCTGTGCAATTAACATGACAGTGACTTACACAGGCGCAGTCTCTTCTTGACCCCAGCAGGAGATTTCGAATTTTTGAACTGTTGTAAGAGTGGCAAACACGGGTGTGATTTTGAATGTATCGAGTGATGCGGCGAGCGAGAGGGATAGGGACCGCAGGGAGGAACAAGTGGCAAGAATAGTGGCAAGGTGTTCTGTACAGTCAACTTCATGTACGAGAGCACTCTCGGCAGGTTTCGTGCAAACACTAAGGCGCCTTATATAGGCCCCATAACTGAGTGGTACGTGGATTGCGAATGATTGCAGTGCAGTACGAGATGAAAGTGTGACATCGGAAAAGATCTGAGGCAAGAGAAGATTGTAGGAAGTTCTGGAGGTATGTGAAAGAGCACGAGTATCTTGGGGAGGGAGAAAGCGAGCAACAGCCAGGTGAAGTTCAGTTGGGAGGTTGTTCCAAGTCATGATGGGGAAGATGGAATGGTCCCCAAGGGTGAAGCGTGTGGCTATTTGTAGTTTGATATGAGATTGTGGATACTGGGCTCGTCTGCGGATCAAGTTAGCAATTGCGAAGTCCTAATCTCCATTCTCGTCGGGGGGGCCGAATCGCTTGCACTTTTCACGTTCCATGGTGTTCGGCTTAACCCATAACTTTACTAAACTTCTTTCCGAGATCAAAGGAGAGCTTTATTTCCTAATTTAGACATTAATCTCACGATGAATCCAACCAACCAGCTTCTACCGCGGCGGGGCTTGCTGTGCAGACTAAAGTAGTCGTCATCCTAGGGATCAGTAATTATATAATATATCCGTTAATTTATCCCAAGTCTTATCGTGAGACCGAAGATCAGCTAGCTATAGCGTCTAATGGCAAGGTTTAGATCTACGCTAGCATGGTATTTCCTGCCTGCAATATTAATGAGTATCTGCTTATTGGTTGACCAATTTTAATATGATTGCATCCTAGCCTATCGCCGTCGACAGGCTGTGCACCCATAATCAATCACGTGCACCCGGGTCAATTTGTGGTCAAGGGTCAACTTAAGGTCGTCCCTGCACAGCTGGCTTTCGCCAGCATTTTGACCTGTCACCGCTGCGTTTCGCTGTCAGGTCAACGTCTTTCTGATATGATCGTTCCGATCTTGACAAAGATGCATCAAGGGGATGCCACAATCGCTGAGATATTGGATCGGCCTTGGCCTCAAGTGGCACTGCCTTTTGTTTCGTATCATCATAGGGCCCCATTTCCCGGTCGTGACTATGGAGTACGATGCTGTCAGGACATGCCCCTCTCCCGCTGGGTCCGACGTTTAAGCTCTGGGTTTTGCCAGAAATAATGAAACCATCCACTTGGAGTTTCGTAACCAAGCAGTGGCCATCCTACCTAGTTACCCGAAATCGTGCAGGTAGCATGCCTTCACCGCGCTGTAGCACTGACTATCCGGCCTAAGTATTACCGCTATGATTGCTCTGGATCTGGCCAATGTTCCGGTCTCTAGGATATTTGCTAGAGTAGCATGTTGCCTATTGGAATTTTGCTTCATTCCCCGATCTCTAGTGGGGCGGGTATCTTTCCCCAGATGGCCACATTGGCCTCCTCAAGATCGACCGAAGGCTCGCCATCGGTGGCAGTTCAAAATCAGGACCTGACACGTTACATGACTTGCAATATAGCAAATACTTCGTTTCTCCGACATACAGAATGACTTCTGGAATCAACAGCACGTTCTGCAGTCTCAAAGCGGTACTTGCTGTATGAATTCTTCGCCGACAGCAACGCACCGTTAATCGCTTATGGTAAGCTTGTTACCGGTTTGGGGTGCCGTCGGGATCATGATTCGAGGGTTGTCTGAGTGACAATCACATTCTCCACTCCACCCACTCGCAATGCGGAGCTGATCTTACTATTCACCGCTGATGCTGGGAGAATATTGTTTCTACACAATGATGGGCCACTGAACTGTTCTATCGACGCGCTTCGAAAAAAACTTACTGCGGAGGCGACTTGTGGGTCCGGGACATTCCGCATAATGCATCGCCATATAATAATACTAAACTCGCTTCATTTGGGACAGTCTTCGATGTCGCACCCCGAGTTTCATGATGGCTAGGCAATTGGCACTTCACCCGTGCTAATCACATGTATCATTTTTAGTGGAGAACAGGTTTCTAAAAATGGTCCCTGTGGCAGCGCTAGCCTATAGGATCGAGGCATGCCTCCCCGCGTGAGTTTGGCACATGAGCCTACTACGTTCTGGTCCGTATAACATAATGGACCCTATACTGTTATCACGGCCATCGTCGAGTCCTACCACTCTCCGAGTAAGTCCTGTGCTTTCGCACCGATTAATTGTCCGAGTGCGCGTCTAAATGCTGTGGATCATCTTCAAATTTCGGCTCGAGATTAGATGCATGTCCCATGCGCATCTAAGGCTATACGCATACGGACACCGCATCAGAGCATAAACTACACGTCGATTCGATTGAGCGCTGATATGCATACACGTCCGTGTGGACGACGATACACGCCGATCAAGTCTGCTTTGATGCTGTAAATGCCCTTATTCTCTTCGTTACAACCGCCCATGACTGTTGTAAAACGAGGCGACGTCGAATCAAGGGCATCAATGGAACTATACGCACTCCGAATGTGTAGGATCAAGGACAACCAACATCATGACGGCGAATCCTCAGATGGGCCTCGGTAGAGATCGGGCTCGACTTGTCCCATTTGGGTCTGGTTATTCCTCGACACAGCAACTCCATTTCTTGCAATTGCCGACCCCAATGTAATTCTCCTATATCTCATAAAATGAGGGGCAAGATTTGTTAAAAGACTCATCGGCACTAAAGAATTTGAATCTCACTTACAAGGCAGCCTGTGCAAGCAGTAATCACTCAATTTCCGTATTCTGAACAAGATGTGAGCATCAAAGGTAATTTGTTCGAGCGATATGGACGTTCACTTCCTTGGTTTTAATCACCAGCACGCTCGTTTGATCGGATCTGAATATCGAGTGTGTGAACTCAGATGCTTCCGCGGTTAGGTAGTACTGCTTAGGGCAGGTTTGGTCGTGTTGATGAAACGTGAGAACATTTCCGGTACTTGCCGTAGCTTGAATTTGGGCTATAGGCGATACCGACGACAAGCAACGTTCGACGACCTCAAGACTCCTCGAAACTTTGCAACATGGTAAGTCACTTCTAGCCACCTGCGGAACCTCAGATGTCTCGCATACTCGAGTCACGGTCTATTTCTTCTCGGAGATGCCGATGGATTGGCATCAACCTCCTTCAGATAGCATGACATACAGGGCTTTGACTCAAACTCTCCCTGACAGACCAAGAAAAGAAGAAATGGCGGCCGTAACAAGAAGGGCCGTGGCCACGTCGGTTTCGTTCGCTGCTCGAACTGCTCTCGTTGCGTCGCAAAAGATAAGGCCATCAAGCGCTTCACAGTAAGAAACATGGTCGAGAGCGCGGCCGTTCGGGATATCAGCGAAGCCAGCGTCTACCCAGGTGCGATACCTCCGAATTCATTGCCTATATCTACCAGGTCTCATATGTTTGTAACAATCCTAGAATACGTGATTCCAAAACTCTATATCAAAATCGCATATTGTGTATCCTGCGCTATTCACTCGCATGGTGCGTATCCTCGAACGTTTTTCTTGTTACACCTATCGATCTCGTCCATCATTTCTAGTTGTACGTGTACGATCACGTGAGGGCCGTCGCAACCGTGCCCCTCCCCCACGTATTCGGTGGAAAGATGGCAAGAAGGTGAACCCTGCGGTTGCTGCCGCAGAGGATGCCAAGGCAGCTGCAGCAGGAAAGGCATGAGGCTGAGCGATATCATCACTTAATGTTCTTGCCGCTACCGTTAGGGAGTAGGCCCCCCTATAGCTCGCTGTTTTCACACCTTTTTGTGATTTCGAGATCCTGCAATTACTCGATCTGTGTACAAATCAGGCGGTTACGATCGTTTGAGAATCTAGGCCGGCGGTCATTTGTCTCGTGTGTATCTCGTTCGTGTCTCGCAATCTCTGCCGCGCGTCGGCCTTCACTGGGCTTCTTCCTGTTACTGCCCCGTTTGAGCTTAATATCCCTCATGCCTCGTGTCTTCTGATGTGGGTCGTTATGTGGGTCATTCGCAGCCTGGTGAACGAGTTGTCGAGATCTCGAACGCCTCTTATGAGAATCACCAGCTCACCACTGACGTGGACTTTAAAGCCGTCCACGGTATCTTGTCACCAGTATTCATTTGATTGGTGCATGGCGTGAAGTTGGTGACCATGAAGTCGTTCATAATCCCCACCGCCCGTCGCCAGTATACAGGGGTGAGTACCATCTCGTTCAATATATTCTATGCTTATCTCCTTCAGAGCCTTCTTGTATTGTACCTCCGACCATATCAATTGTCCTTCCTGATTTTGGATGTCGATTTCAATCTACACCCCGAAGTAGGGCTCTGAGCTACAAATCACTTGCCGCTCGGAGTCTTTTTCAAAGATATTTTATGGGTTGTCACGAGTTCGATGTTCGCTCCAGCATGATCTAAACGTTTCATGTTCCCCACATGGCTTACAGAACGAGTACTGGTCTTACTGCAGTTAAAGATTGTCGCGACAGAATCCTGTGATCTTTTAGTGACTGATGCACAGGTTAGCCTAGGTACTTCAACTCGTAGTAGGTTGTCATGATCACTCGTCAATAATGATTCTACCTGTGCATGCACGTGTAAGGATCGTACTAGTTATAGTACTAATATATCCTCTGCGCCCCGACCATGCCGCGGTCCAGCCATCCATGTGACTCATGAATGCGAAGAAGCCTTGGGATTCGCATCCGAGTTATGGCGCGGACACTTGTTCTCCTTCATCACCAGACCTTGTGCTCGAACTCCACGATCTCCGTGCCTTTCATTGTTCGTTCTTCGTTCTCATTCTGACCGTACGCTCCGTCACCATTTAAGGACTAGTGGGCTGCCCGAAACATATCTATATCTATATATACACATCATGCACACTCGATTTCGAGAGCAGAATCGGATACTCTCATGTCCCCAGAACAGAACGCCGTAAAGAAAGCCATAGTCTCGAACCTTTGCCATGCTCATTTTCGTATTACCTCTCATATCCTCGTCGTCTACTCCGCAATTCCCTGTCAAACTCTTATACACGACGATGAGGGGGTATGCATACCATTTCCAAAAGGCAGACTCAGTGCGTGCTTGCACATCTCCGTACGACAATGCAGGTGACTTGAAAACTTGTTTTCCGTCCTTGCGACGTTTGCATTTGAATGTATCGTGAATATTGTAAATTGTGGTCTCGTCGAGTAGGAACAACCACCTAAGTTTGGAATATCTTTTGTTTATTCGTTTCCGTCGGGATAAAGCGGTAGACAAGGTCTATGATAATAGTGGTCAAATGAAAATAGACGCATGCCAGACTTATACACTCTTTCAAATTTCGGCCGTCGTGCTATACAAGTGCAAGAAGCCTGCTGATCAGCAGCAGGATTCCAGATCTAAGCTCATATCGATCACGTGGCCCGGGGAATGTTCAACATGAGTTTGGTATTCATCGTTCAAATATTCACCCTTCGACATTCGGATAGTCCGAGTCCCGACTGCGTATATATACCTACGTTGTACACCATCCTCTCTTTGTCGTCCCCCGCCATGTCGTAGACACTTGATACAGCGTCGTTCTTCAACTCTCCGCCCGCGCCGTTGGGCTCCTCTCTCCCACATACTACGTATACTAGTACTACTATGTCGAGTAGGATGTTAATGTGTGTACTACTAGTAGTCTAGTATGCACATATATGCATCCTACTGGACATACCATAAGATTGTTACAATGGTTTGCCTTGTGACCCACCGGGAGATGCGACTGATTAGTTGTAAGACATCATATTAGTGTGTGTGACACAATCATGATGCCTCAATCAGTCGCATCTCAGGATAGAAAATGGAGCCGTGATCTCACATCCATTTCAATCAGACCAGAGAGGGAGAACACGGCTGACAATGTGGGTTTGAAACCAGCACTGTATGCGAATAGACTGAATAGCATGCCGATGGACAAGGGGATACTAACTCATCCTTCAGCATACTATTCATGATCAGTCTATTCGCATATTTCGTAAATGTATGATGAGTGGTGATGTAGGTCGTGTCACAGGCAAGATACCCTCTGGACCACCTTTCGATACTTGTTTGAAGCCTTTCAGTTGAGCACTGAGGCAGGGCTGTCTCGGTGTCTCGGTGACGGCGGCTCTCGATGATGCTGGAAGATCCAGATGGACCGAGCGTGATATCATCAGTGGTCTCTAAAGAATGAGCCTTTCGATAAGTTGCTCAACTTCCAATCTATGTTATAGACTCAAGTCATACCCCTGCGTGTCTTGAGTCCTGCCAAGGTTTGCCACCTTCCGGTTCAAAGTTGTCAGCATTGACTCGAACCACTGGTAAGCTCTCAAATATATTATCAGCTCTAGAATAATTTCACAATATCCTGATGGTCTGCGTTGGAAGGTAACCTATCACAAGGACTTGCCTATGAGTTCCTATATCACCACAGATAAGGTCGCAGTGAAGTCCAGACTCCCACTTGAAGATTAGTGCAAACCCTAACCTTAGAATTAGCCATTACACAGCCTGCAGAAACTTGGTGTACAAGTCCGACGTCTGTAATTAAGCTTCGGCTGCTGAATAGCAGAGAAAAATAAAATAAAAACACAGTATTATTTCAACTAAAAATGAACAGTGGTTATTCTACCAGCGACTGTTGAAAGGTCATCGAAAAATTGTTTGAAGGACGTTGTCCGTCTCTAAATTCACCTTATTCAAGTCGATTTTAATTGAGACTCAAGTACCAGTCGCCACATGTGAAATGCTGAGTTCTGTTTGTCCAAACAAGCCTGACTGAAAATCTTCATTCAGACCGCGATGCTCTTGTCGAAGTATCTCCACAATACAATCAACAATAAACGCGCGGTCAACATACAGGTCCGTGCGCTGTGTGGCAGGCACAGTGGTCGGACTTTGAAGGTGTAGGGCCATTCAACAAAACTGTCGCGTCGAGACGAACCACCCAACATATCTTCCTTTCGCTTCCCAACTCGAAATATCTCAGATTCAACACTCGCACTGATGTCCGACAACGAGGGAACCACTAAAAAGAGCGGTTATCGCCTGGAATACGCGAGTTCTGCCAGAGCCAAATGTAAAGGTGTGGCATAACATGCGACTTGTTGACTTTGTGTGTTTTTCATATCGTTTCTTCATTGACAGGTCCCAAGCCCTGCAATGGTGCGCACGGTTGATCGTAACCATATATTCTGTCACCTAACATTTACTACAGGTAGTTCAATCGCCAAAGGGGAGCTTCGTGTTGGGTCTGTCGTCGATTTCAGGGGGAACACTAGCTAGTAAGTGACATCATACTCAAAGATCGCCTTTTAACACTCGTTTGGAAGTGCATGGCGCCACTGGGGTTGCACGACTACCAAGCTCCTATCCAACATGAAATCTCAATTTGAATCCGCCGATGACCTCGATGGTTTCGATGACCTCAGGGACGAAGACAAAGAACGCCTTCGCAAGGCATGGGAGGAAGGCAAGGTCGCTGACGAGGACAGAGCCCCCGGAGGAGAGGGTGATGAAGACGAAGAGAAGCCCAAGAAGAGGGCACCAGCCAAAGCCAAGAAAGACCCGAGTGGAGAGGATGGCGAGAAGCCAAAGAAGAAACGTGCACCTGCAAAGGCCAAGAAAGCGGAGGAAGACGAGGATGAGGATGCTGAAGACAAGCCAAAGAAGGTTCCTGCAAGGAAGCCTCGAACAAAGGTCCCATATGTTCAGATCACTTTCAGCGTCTTAATTCTCACTTTGTCTTTCATAGAAAGCCTTACCTTCATCAGATGCTGAAGATAAGGGAGAGTCTGAGGAGAAACCTAAGAAGCGTGCGCCTGCGAGAAAGCCTGCGGCTGAAAAGAAAGTGGCTGAGAAGAAGGCTCCAGCCAAGAAGCGAGTTGCTAAGAAAAAAGTATGTATGAAACTAGTTTCTGCTTAACGCGGACTCATCCTTGCATGATTTTTAGGACGAAGAGGAGGAATCCGGCGAGGACTTTGCAGAAGCGATTGCCGAGGTTCAGGAGGAGGAGGAGGAGGATGCAGAAGAGTCGAACAAGAAGCGCAAGGTTAGCAAGCTTCTGTTTTCTCAAAGTGATTGATTAAACTTCTTTGTAGCGACCTACTTCTTCGAAGCCAGCATCCACTGCCAAGAAAGCAAAAGTAGCTTCCAAGGCAAAGAAGTCGAAGGAAGTTCTTGAAGAGGAAGAAGACAACGAGTAGATCCTTTATTCTTATAGCGACCTCTTTTATCCATTCCCTCGTGTTCACCAGGTGTCCGCGATTTCACGCATTCATACCACTGCCAGTTGTTGATGTAAATTGTTCGAGTTCTCTTGTACGCTGTTGAGTAATTTAAGCCTCGCATTGACTGTTCAATCACCAGTGGATCAATAAGCTCAGATTTGGACTCCAACTGTTTAGATGCGCGTCATCACTTTGCTCTACTGAACATATAGATCTCGAACCACTCCCAACTGCACTGATACAACGCCACCCGACCCCAATTATGGGTACACCGAAGTTTCAGCACCTCTCCACGCTCCTCCGGCCGTCCAGCAAGCTCCAACTTCACCATCCAGCACCTTTCCCTACACCCTCACCATGGTCCGTCTCGATTCCTCATAGCAATGTTACTTCCAGCTTCGCATTTAGTGTGCCCTCGTCATCTACATATTCCGTTTTACTACAACAACGCAACGTCAGTCAATTCGAATTATCGAGGTGAAGTGTAAGAAATGCCTCTTCGATTGGTAAATGGACTTACTCGTGCATTACCCAATCACCCAGCTCATTCGTTATGCTGCAAGTCGTGTTGGGAGGAGGTTTAGAAGTGGATCTTTAGTAGCCATTGGCCAACGGAAGCACGAGAAATGGAGTTCGTTGGGTCATAAGACAATCAGTACACCACAGTTCACAGAGAGAGTAAATTCAACCTACCGGGAAGGTACAGTGACCGGAAAAATTGTGTTTGTCGATAATAATAAAATTTTCAGCGCTTCAGGTGGGGCTGCATGGGCGCCAGGTTTCCGGCTGTGCGCCTCGATCGAAAGTACAGTGTTAGGACGCACTGGGCAGCTATGCTTGAAAATACCAATCCCAACGCACCATATTCCACTATCACTAGTTACTGGGCTAGGTGCATAGAACTTCAACCACCATATGCGTCCTGTGAGGGGTGCCATCACATTAATGAAGGAACAAAGTGAGATGAACACCACACACCCTCCGCAACAAATTCAAACCACAATTCTTTGTAGGTAGCCATGCGCAGGCGTTTTTGGAACATCCTGATTTTCAAAACAACATTGAACTGGTTGGTGCACTCATTGCATGTATGTACCCGAATTTCATCTGGTGGGCATCCTAAAGCGCGTCTCAAACAGCCGCCTTCTTTTACTAGCATCTAAATCAGTAATCTCTCTGGTGGACACTACTGTGTACTACTTACGGATTCCAAGCTCAGGTGCATAAAAATTGCATGGTTGTTGGTTATCATGCATGCATCATACAAGTTGTCCATACAATCACAGGACTAAGGGGGAGCAAACTTGGTCAATGCCAAGACAGCTTGTGGCCAATTATTTACAATTGCCCAATACAGTGCTGTGTGGCCCTCTATATTGCGTTCTGTCAGGATTTTTGAGAGCTCATGAGCTGGGAGCACAGCAGTGCAGGCATTGACATTTGGGGCCACATAAGAAGGGGTAAAATCAGGGCCTAAGACAATATTGCGGATGCGGGATAGAACAGCTTTGCGTTTCTCCTTCATGCAATGAAAGGGAAATATGGATGATTGACCGAATTGAATGGGAATTGCTGAGAATATTGTGTCATATGAAGGAGGTGGGACACTGCTGTCATCAACAACTGTGGAATTGGTAGCCATTGATATTGTGAGTGGTAGAGTGCAAATTATAAAATAGGGGTTAAGTACCCCTGCGAGGTACAGCTGACTAATAAGATAGACCTCGACACCAGTTCATCACGTGACTTGAGGTCAGAATACATGATTTTGGCTTGTAACTTGACTTCAAATTAGAATAAGCAAAATATGTTGCATGATCTTGTAGATACATGCTACAATATTAAAATGGTCTACTCAGAATTCTTATTTTCGGCCAATTGACGGAGGAGTAGGCTTTTTGGTAGCCAATTTACCTTTGTGACCCAATTGTGACTGACTACCATCCCTGTCACGCTGGTAGTGCTCACTTCGACAATATAAAGCCAACTTGTCTCTTAGTTTCTGACATTATATCATAAAAAATACATTCCCAGCTTGCCACAGACTATCCGCACATAATCATGGAACAGATTTTGCTCATGTTTTGTATACCACGAGTTATATATCATTTTGTTAAAAAGTCACGCTAAATCACGTGATGAACAGGTGTATGAACGAAGTCTATCTTACTGCAATGCATATCTAATATTCGATTCGATGTGGTCCAAATTCGAGGACACTGTCAAGTTGTCAAGATATGAGAAAAAGCTGAGCGCTGAGCGGAGGACAGAACGAAAGTGATTCAACTCATCGCGCTTGAGTACTGTGTCTTCGGACACATGTTTCATGATGTCACTCTCAATGGAAGTTCCGAACAGGCTCTTTGAAAATTGAAAGAGTCTGGAGGTTTGGGTTCGAAGCAGTATGTACATAAGTGTGATATCTGTAATCATATAACAGTCTCGAGGGCCTCGCCATCAGCCGAAGACTCCCCCGACTCTGTGAAAGATCTCTGGAGAGCAGCGATCTCCTCGTCACTCCTGAACAGTGTGCTCAGCTCGAATCTGTCATTGCACGCTATCCGGAACTCCACGGCCCGTGGAGATTTCATTTCCTTCAAGTACGATAGCACCGCGAATGCAGCCTGTCCGTCATACATAAATCAGTGGCTCAGTTCAGACGGAAGGGGTGGACACGGACCTCGTGATCAAGTTGGACGGGTTCCTTCAGCACTGTGAATAATATAGAGTCAACCTCGTCTTGCGGTGCCTTCAATATTTGCGCGACTTTAGCATGTGCTACAATAGCCATCGGCGATGAAGAGTGTTTCTGGAGATACTGAGAGTTGAACAATTCAAGTGAAACCTCTGCTGGAAGCAGTGAGGCAATGGACTCAGCAAGCATTGGTCCGACCGGCGCGGAAATTGGCTCGGGCAACGAGGAGACTGGGACTCCTGTCAGATAACAGCGTGAAGTTATAATCAATCTTACCAGTGTTCCTAAGATGTGCTATCCGCGAGTGCAAATCAGGATGTTCGGAATCCAGCAAATGGGCGCGCCTGAGCATCCTAACAGCTTGCAGGTATTTCTCTGTCGCCGAATCAGACCTTTATCCCTGGCCCCAGACTTCGACGCTCGACTTACTTCGTCGAATAGCGACATCATATACTGCAAAGCAAATGTCCATATTTTGTGGCACAAGTTCCGATAGGCCCGTCAAATATTTGTCCGCGCGTTCGAGGGGGTCCTCGGCCAAGACCAGTTTCAGGCCTTCTGGATCATCGTCTGTCAAACGGGGGGGCTCGAGGCCTCTGTCCTCCGGCTGGGTGGCTGCGGCTGCGGAAAGAATGCGACTGCGTAAAGAAGACCATGCAAAGGTTACAGAATGACGTATTGATTCACCCTTTTTGCTGTTTGCACCGTCTGCTTCGGGCTGTCCCTTACGAGCAGCTTTTTTCGCCTTATTGATAGCTTTCTTGGAGGAATTCTCTGAGGCGGTTGTTTCTAGATCTGACGATCAGCTGAGGATGATGAACCAAACACATTACCCGCCTGGAGGTTGAAGACTGGGACCGAGAGTTGCGTCATCGTACAATGCAACCCATATCTTCAGAAACATCAGGAGATTGACGATATATACACATGCCAAAAACTCACTTGAACGGTGGCAACTGCTGCATGAATAAAGCTTGGATGTGACCGCACATTATCCTCCCATTTCAACATTCTGCAAAAATATATTATCAGCCCATCAAATCAAACTCATGGCGTATGATTCTGACTCGGTGTAAACATTTAGAATCGTTTTCCGTATAGAATACTGGTGAAATTCATACTGGTCTTCACGGAACGATTCGAAGACCTGTCAAGGGTCAAGCCTCCATGGCCAGAAGAAGACACAAACTAAAGGCTCACTTTCTGTATTACATAGTACTTCTTTAAAGCAAGGTTGAGTTTGCCAGCCCGTCGGTATGAATCGCCCTGCTCGACAAGGTAATGCATTGCTTGCATTTCCTCCAGATCTATTGCTGGAGGCGCCCCTCCCTAGGTCCAGAAATGGATGAACGACAAGAAGACAACTTCACGCCATGTGGCACACTCACCCTTGTGAATTTGGAAAATATGGCGTCCGCCTCATTCACCATACCAGCTCTTAGCAAGTACTTGCCTGTCTTCGTGTTAATGAACCTGTCCTGTCCATCCAGCAGACGAGCATCATTCATGGCCCTTGCAGCACCATGTGGGTCACCTGCCCGTTTGAGTGCGCGGGCGCGTGTCATATATAGCTCTGGCAGTGTCGGAGTGTGTGCTATTGCGATATCCAATATTTCCAAAGCCTGTTTGTGGCGCCCTAGATAGGAATGATGCTGTGCGAGGAGATACAGTGCCCACAAGTAAGTTGTTGGCTCAACAGAATCGCCAGTTGAGGTCGCAAAGGTTGCACGAAGCTCTTCCACGGTATCTTCAATTATTTGACGCTTGACCAAATCCCTGTACAGCGGCTTAAGGTCAGCAAAGAGGGAGGGAATCCCTTTCGTGAGCGCATTGGTCAGGTAGGGTTTGATGAGATCCTTAAATTCCTGTCCAGTAGCCACATGAAGAGCCAGGCGGCGCGAAGCGGTAGCAAACGGGACCTCAATGTAGCCACGGAGCATTTCAAGCGCTTTCTCTCGATTTTCGTCCGTGACATTAGCTGAGAAATTATCATTACACCACATGAAAGCGTGAAAAAATAGCACTCACCAAGGTCGATGCCTTGATTAGCAAGCAGCCCTTTATAATACTCGTAGCCATCAGCATTTTGGGACAGAAGCCAGCGCCAAGCAGCATCCGCCTGTTCCGTCCAATTGGTCTTTTTCTCATCATCTGCGTCGCTTTCCTTCAGCTTCGCCAATAAGCGAGCTGTAAAGAATGAGAGTGTCTCAAAAAATAAGCGATATGTAATCATACCTTTCAGCTCCGTGCTCGCCATGCGATCCAGGACAGCGCCGCCTTTGGCCCAGTCATGTGACTCGAGCATATCGACCGCGGATTGGAAGTCGCCCAGATCCTCTAGTATACGAACGTGGTACATCAACAGCTCCGAGAATTCCACATTGTGAGATCCTACGTTCTACAGACACGTTATATAGGTGAGCAGATAGAATGTAAATGCACGTACCCGAAGAAACCCTTCAATATGTTCAAGAACTTGTGCCGCATCAGCAAGGTTTCCATTAAGCTGATATGCAACCGCAAGACCGACCCAGTGATGTCGGTTGTAAGGCCGCAGGCGGAGGAGGTTATGACGTGTTTCTACCAGGCCCTCAAATTGACGCGTTTGCGTTTGAAGAACAGCAGTATCTCGCAAGATATTGAAGTTGTCCTTCATTCAAACACTGAGACACGCCAGAGCAAGTAAGTAACCAATCAAACGCACCTTATCAAACTTCAGCGCCTGGATGTACGACTTGAGTGCATCCTCGTATTTGTGTTCGCTCTTTTGGATGAGCGCCCAGACGTGCCAGCAGATGTGAGAAGATAGGTCCTTGCGCATGCCCTCTTTGACGAGATTGATGCCCTCATCACGCTGACCAAGGTGCACCAGAATCAGACCCTTCATGCACATTGTTTCTGCAGCGCTGCAAATCAGCCATGAAAGGTACGAGCGTCAGTTAAGATTGACATACCGCCATGTTCAGGATACTTTTTGAGTATTTGATCGGCTGTCTTCCTGCCCTTGGGGAGTTGTCTGTTTTCATACTGACTTAAGAGATCAGCAAATAGCTTCTTGTCCTTTTGTGCTAGAATAGGTGGTGCCATTTGCTAGTGGTGTCCAAGTCGCTAAAGACGAGCCTGTAGGGTATATGAGGTTCAGGGACGAGGCTGTTGTGTTTGCCTCACGTTGACCGCGTGAGGAGTTCGGAAGGTTTGTGTACTTGTTGTATGGAGAACGTTTGACTGTAATAAACCTCATGGACTTGTGGAAGCACTTGTGTACCGTGAGATGGACTTCGGCAAGTTCGGCATGTATATTTCAAAGACACAGCTCTACGAAGAAAGACATGTACAGCTCTGAGGAGATTACTCATGATTACGGTGTGGGGATACAAAGCAGTACACGACGAGTAAGCAAGATGGATAAAACCACAGCAATGGGCATAAGTATTAAGCAAAGTAGACAATAAAGAAATCATGACTTCCTCGCGTGATTGCCCTTCTTTTTCACCTGCTTACTGATTTTCCTCTTGAGATTAAGGTCAGACTCGACGATGAGCAGTAATGAGAAGACCAACACACCTTTGCACGCGTCCCCGCCTTACGACTTGGCTTACGATTTTGCCCTCCTTTTTTTTCGTTCGCTTCCTCGTCGCTCTCTTGTCCACTAATAGACCCGTCCTCACGTTCCGAGCTCGGCTTGGTCGGTGTATCCTCCCTATCATCTTGCTCTGAATCGTCCGAGGACGGTTCATCCTCGGATTCAGACTGGTCACTGTTCCATCGAGCTGTTTTTGCACGTCTGAACCCGCCATCAGATACGTTGGATAACTGTAAGATGGAGAACTCTCACTTGGTGGTCCCATTAACCCTGTGCCGTGACGCCTTCCTTTTTGGAGGGGATTTGGAGTCTTTGGGTTCACGGGGTTCACGCCGTTTTTCCTATCACAGAAAACGATCAGGTA